CATCGACCTCTGGGTTATGGGCCCAGCACGCTTCCGCTGCGCCTCTCTGCTACATAAGGAACTGGGTAGAACTTTGAAAGTAGGATCTGAACCTTCGTGGGGAAAAGGCAGCAGATTGTGTACCCATTGCCATACAAACTGAGGCATTACCACAATAGTATGTTTTATCAACATAATATAATCCAACTCATTAGCAGAGGATGGTTTCGATCCATCGACCTCTGGGTTATGGGCCCAGCACGCTTCCGCTGCGCCTCTCTGCTACATAAGGAACTGGGTAGAACTTTGAAAGTAGGATCTCTGCTACGTAGAGCTTTGACAGTAGGTTCTGAACCTACGTTTGGAAATGGCAGGATATTGCGCACCCATTGCCTTACAAACTCAGGCATTACCACAAAAGCATGTTTTATTAACATATTTTAACCCAACTCCTTAGCAGAAGAGGGTTTTGATCCATCTACCTCTGGATTATGGGCCATCAAGGCCACATGTCCCCAAGAGGGAGAATGACGTGGAATCTCACACACTCAATGGACTGTGGTTCAGGATTTTGCTCTCCAGCTCTCTCCACTGCAGATGTTTGGTCTGTTGATATTGAGCCCCCAGTCCCATTGCAGGACACACCACTGTCAAGCGTGCACCATGCCGTTTGCTACTAAGGAGTTTCCTACGACACCCATATCCCTGAAACTGCGACACTGAATATCTAATAAAATTTCATTTATATTATATTCCTACACAACAGGTAATGGTACTAATATTAGCTAGTGGATGAGGTGTGCAAACAGAAGTTTGGTTTTCTCCTGAAAGAAGTCGGCCTTAAATGGGTGAGGAAACAAATCCAAAAATGGTCTGACATGCTTAGATGTAACACACACAAATGGGTACGTCAGTAACAGCTCATTCCCATGGCTCCCCTTAAAGGCAGCACGCGTTCCTCCGTTCGGGAGGCCGCCTCTTCAGCCGCTGACGCCGCGAATTAGCTTTTCACTAATGTAACTTTCGAAATGTCTGATTGGCTGAAGCCTTCTCCTTCGTCGAATAGCGTGTGGCCTCTTATAAATATGCGTAGAGATGCAGGGAGGTGTGAAGTACAGCCCACACGTCCAGGGTGAGTAAATGTTCATAGACGGATGTTTTTTTTTTTGCCAAATGGCATTTAGAGAGTCACACCACTCATATTTCAGGAGGCTGATAGCTATTCTGCGACGATAGGTGGGAGTGCATTAAAATGCATGTTAAGCAGAACACCAGAGACGCAGACTCATACTTGGCGGCATTAAATATCAACTTGTGCTGACTATCAACTTGCATTAATGAGATACTCCTGCATATTAATTTTGCCAGTCCGGTGAGATCATGCATAAAGGGTCAAACTGTCCAGATTTGTCCTCTTCTGAGATTAAATGTAACACAGCAATTGTCTCCTTTTTCTTTCTTGCTAATTACTGTTATCCACCCTGTTCAACATTAATGCTCTCTGTACGTTTAACTGGTTTCCACCTTCCACCAGTCATATAAAATTGCCCATTGCATTTTATTGGAAATCCCAGCTCCATACCCACCTCTCTCCCCCCCTCTATATAGTAGTACATGGTTGGGGGGCAGTTCTGACAGTTCATTAATAGAGTAGACCTTTGAGTGTTTCCTACATTGTGGAATGTATTTCAGGCTATATTGTTTTTCATCAATAAAGTACAAAGAAAAGGAAAATGCCTGGGATTATTTCTTTCTCTGGAAAAATATGGTTTAGAAATGTCCTTAACCTTTATACTCTCTGACTGTTTAAGATATTGATGGTTTGGGGGAGTTTTACACACGTATACACATTAAGCATAATTGCAAGAACAGATGCACAAAAGATACACACATGCCATCGCAGACACACACACACAGAAGTGTTTGTATGTCAGCTGGGAGCCCATTTCTGAGCCATACAAATAGACAGTGTTGCCCTGGCCCCTCATTCCATTTGTGGTAAAAGGAAACCCAGTCTCCACGGTGACCAGAAACAAAAAAAGGGTGGCAGTCTGTCTCAAGAGCAGCTGGCTTTGAGAGTGAGCGAGTGACGGAGCAAGAGAGCGAGCGAGCGAGCGAGAGAGAGAGAGAGAGAGCAAAGAAAAGAGAAACACAGAGCAGAAAAAAATCATAAGAAAAGTGCAAGAAAAGAGTGAAGAAGTACATGGAGGCCTGGATACGAACTAATTTGCTGTTAAAGTGACAAAAGGATAAACAAGCACCAGTAAAAACATGTGAAATTTACTCAGAAGAAAGTAACTGAGCAAGAAAAAAGAAAAACAAGTAAAATAGGAAAAACAACACAGCAAGAAGGAACAGGGCAGAAAAGTAAACTCGTGGAGAAAAGTTTGTTTTTCAATCAAATTCTAAAGTTCAAAAATCGCCCAAGCTAAATTGCATTTTTTCGTGTTTGGTTTGTTGTTCTTGGGTGATTGAAACCTCCAGCAACAGAAAAACGACTGAGAGACAAGTCAGAGAAGGTGCCCTAAAGTGAAGAGTAACTACCTTCCCATTCCTGGAGGTAAGAAACAGTTCTGTGTTGCGTATGAAAGCTGCCGTGTTTGGATGCGCAGATGTCACACGCTGAGTTTGTTGTGCAACCTTTCAGTGTGAGAAACTCATTGGCTACCACGTCCGTAATGCTTCAGATGGAGTCCAGATGGGGGGAGGAGAAATGTAGAGCATAGTTGTGAGTGCATGAGTGTGTGAAACAGGGGTGTGTCAAGTGTGCAAGGAGAAACAAGAACTTCTGCAAATCCGTAGAGAGTTCTGCTCTTATGTGAGTTCGGAGAAAGACAGACATCAGTGTGGGAGATAGTTTTGCTTGCTGGCTTTGTCTGAATGCAGAGTATGACACAAAAAAACTGCCTGCAAAATCGACTCTCAGTTCTTGCAAATAAATCGAGAGACGGACAAAAAAGAAGAGATGGTGAGATAGATAAAGAGCAAGAAGGGAAATGGCTGCAGCGGTCAGGCGTTCTCCGTGAGCACCCGGGCAGGTGGCTCAGAAATGCCTTCACTCCTTAGAACTGTGACAATCAGCTGGAGAGCCCCCGCCAGCCCCCATGCAGCTGATCTCCCCTTCCCCCCCAGCCCCCCCCCTCATTGAGAAACCCAGCCAGATGGGCAGACGGCAGCCAGCACACATGAAAACAAAACCAGTGGATTCTCCAGCCCATTATGTCTTGTCCCATAGGAATGAACCTTCATATTTGCATATACATTCCCAGCAGGAATTTCACACGCAAACACACTGCGGACGCACGGCGTGCGGAGAGTCGGAACGCTGACGACCGCGCATCAGAAATAGCAGCATTCGCATGTGTGTCAGACGGTCTATAAAAAAACTGCCTTGCTGGCAGCAGGTGCGTGACTGCCTGAGAGAAGCTGGACACTACATGGCACGTTCTAGCTGCCCCGTGCCAGTGCGGCCAGCTCAGGACCAGTGCGGCCAGCTCAGGGCCAGTGCGGCCAGCTCAGGGCCAGGGCGGGTTACGCCGGGATACCCGAGAGGCGGGGACGGGCAGCTCCATCCCTCAGCACACTCATAAGGTCGCTCCCATTTTTAAAGTAGGGGTGTGTGAGTGTGGATGGGGCCACGAGCACCACTCACTGTCAGGCGGCACCTGCTGGGCCAGCCTCCCTTGGCATGAACCACTGACACAGTATCGCAGGGGGGTGAATGTGTTGACTGGGGTGGGGAAATTCGAGTTTTGTGTTCCACACAGCTCAAGTCCAGCTTGTGAGCCCTTGAATCATCCTTTGTGCTGTTTAATACTAGCTGGTGTGAGAATGGACGATCCTGCTTGTAAACAACAGCTGTCCATGTCGCCACTGTGTGCTCTGACCCCCCATTAGAGTTTCACTGTCACAATGGGATGACCTATCTATCTCCCTCCAAACTGGCCGGCCAGTGACGCTCCCCACCCTCATCGGCCCACATGGGAGTCGCCCTCATGTCTCCGGCTATTACAAGGTTCACTTGGCGTGCTGATCCTGAAAAAGTCTTGCGGGTTCATAATTATAAGGCAAACCAATGTTCTGTCGAATGTTTATACTGCACTTGACTACTTGCTCCGATTCCGAAAAAGCAGAGAGAGGCCCCTATTTACACTGTACCCACGGTGGCCCATTCAGAGAGGAGCAAAATCTGGCAGCTTCCAGGTCTATCAGTCTGATCTGTTTAAGATACACCAGCCAAAAGCTTTTACACACTGCAGATTTTTACCACTTTTCCTTTTATTTCATAAACTGCAGATTTATAAGTCTTAAGCATGGGGAGTTGAGTGAACAACTATAAATGAAAATAAAAGTTAAATAAAACAAGTTTCTTTTATAACATGGAAAAAGTATGTAACAATGCATGTCTGATATCCTACTAACTGGTTGTTTGGTGATTAACTTTCATGCGCTAGTTAACTGTTTCATCCCAAGAAACAGAGCAGTATTTAATGTCCCTTGTAGTAAGAATGTCTCGAATTTTCTCTGCTGTTACAACTACTAAAGGAGGTCACTTTGATGAACCAAAGATACGACATTTCCATGCTAATAAGGGTACTCAAATGATGAACATACTGTAAATTTATCTGTTATCAAACAGTATTGAGTGGATGTTTAGCAAATGTTAAGTGAGGAACATGCAGATGTAGAAAACTTTTGACTGGTAGTGTTTATCAGTTGTGCACAGGTAAATCTGAAATGGTCTTACCTGTTAAACCACTTCAAACTAAGATGTTCATTGCTTTACGAATTTTTGGTGTGTCACAGGCAAACCAAAGAAATCTGTTTGTTTCAGCCGACCTTCCAGAAAGCCTGCACCCATCTTTGAGAAACAGCATCGATAAGGCAACATGGAAGCGAAGCAGGAGGTGCTGGACCTGCTGCAGAAGGTCTGGGTGAAGCTGCAGGGCCTGCCCCATGCTAGCGCTGCGGAACTAGGACTTTTCTTCGTCCTAGTCCTCTTCATTGGTGCGTAACCTACTGACCTCCTCGATATCGATGCTTAGAGAGAGGCTGCTGTCATGTGTGCCAATTAGACTGGAGCAGTAATTACAGTAGAACTGAAATAAATAAAAAATATTACTGAAATATTATTGAACATATCTAGAAGATGGATAGGCGCATGGATGGATGGATGGATGGATGTCTCACTATGCCACTGAAAGTCCAGTCATTCTCAGACTCACTCTGGGTTGGTCAACAGTGAAGTTAGCCACCTTTCAAAATGCCAGGACAAGAGAAAAATGTTATCACGTCATCAAGACCGCAATGAGTAACACATGACGCAGGATTTCTCCTGCTGAGGATGTGGTTGCCCCTGTTTCCCCACAGCCACCTTCCTGCTCATGATCCTGCTGTCCTGTGCCCACTGCTGCTGCTGCGGCAAACCCAAGTATCAGGCCTCCAGGGTGCAGCCCATACACGCCGTGTGAGAGCCACCAGGACCAGCACCAGGACCGCCGGCAGCTGTTCAGAGCTCCGTGGGTCCTGCCGTGGCGATGCGGACCTCGCTCCGCGGCTGGGGGCTCATTCCGAGGCGTCCCAAAGTCCCCCAAAAACGAGAGCTGCACCTATCCAATGCGCCCTCCCTGAAGGATGGAGGGGTGCAGGCTGGAAAACAAAGCATTGAAACAAAGTGGGAATGAACATTTTAAGGGGCCAAAAGTGGGTAAAAAAGGCTACATGCTTGCATCTGTGCTTTTGCTCGTCGTCAACAGCTGGACTTCTCCAAAAGACATCAAAAAAATATATTTATGTTTTAGTCAGAGAAACTACATGACGGTTCATACTTCAAAGGAACCTTTTGAGTGGGAATCAGAGTATCCCCATGGCTCTTTGATTTTTCAGCAATTATTTTCACCCAATTGCCAACGAATAGGCCAAAAACCAAACAATCAAAGAGCTATGTGATGTTGAAAATACTGTTTATGAACTGTATAAAACACAAGGTGTGTTAAAGGCCTTAACTAACCTTTGAATAAAGGAACAGATTGCAATTGCTACACTATGACTGTCCAGCATTAAAAAAAGTTTATGATACACGTGTCCTGGTCTAACCCAAACATGCTGCGCACTTTAACAATTAAGGTCAGGGTGAAACATAGCATAGCTCCTGAGTCCCGGACTGCAGCTGCTGAGACTTGCCGTGCCATTCTGCACACAGCGACGCAGTGCGGCCTTTTCATCTGAGCATTATCCTCCCCCTCCCTCCTCAACAGTATGAAAATGCATCTCTGTGCTGTTTGTTTATATGTCATTCTTGCTAAGCTGTTTGTTTGCTTATATGTTATTCATGTTGACCTTTTGTTTATATGATATTTGTTTTGTCTGTGTGAACTCCCTGTAATTGTCTGGCTGATGAAAGGGAAAGCATATTGACGTAGCTTTATTTTTTTCAGTTGGAAATAAAGGTTTTGTATGATTTTTGCTTTTTGTTTACATTTTTCAATTATTAATTTACAGAATTAAAGCTTCTTTCGATATTTACATGCCTTGTGGTGATTTTATGCTTAAGATGACAACATGTGATAAAAAGCTTTTGTTGCTCAAAAGGTCAAAGAGACAGTGAATAAAATATCAGCAAACTGTGTCCACAATGTGTGTAACAAGCATATTAAGTACCAGTCTGAACTTCGTGACATATTAAGAATGTTAACATGTAAAGATGTGCATCTCTGTGCCAAAAACATCAAAAAACATACCTTGCACATATAAAGCCATCCTGTCCACCCCAGTGATGCTGCCTCACACATGTGCACCACAAATCCTTTATAAGACAGACGATTTATTAGATTTTCAATAAACTCCGCTGGACACCAAGCTGCAATGGCTGTGAGCTTAGAGGCATATCTAAAGGCTGACTCCCTTCTACGGGACAGAACAATGAAGTGCATGAGCACATGGCAGCATGAGGCTGCACCTCACAATACAGGCCTCACTGTTGACTGTGATAATATTGCTGTTAAACATTAACCCAGGAACCTCTCGCCTACTGAGCAATACAAACAAATGTCAGAGCCGAAGCAGAGTGAGAGCTTACGGGACAATTCACTGACGTTTCAGGAGATTCGTGGTGTAAAGCAAAAAGTCTGGCTGCCAGACTCAGGAAGGGAGGTAACAGTCTCCGGTGAGCTCATTCCAGCACAAAGGCGAGGGCTTCCACCTTCTTTGGCTACACGCACAGCAGCTGTCCGGCACGGCCGACATGGTGGTGGTGCAGAGGTGAGCGTCTGAGCGTGAGCTAGCACCAGAGATCCGTGCAAACATAGCCTGGCTGTAGAAGGCTCTGTAAGACACTTTAAAAATGACCCGCTGTAATGTAAACATTCAGACAATGAAATGTGATGAAAGAGAGGGGGGCATGCATAATTAAGAGGCTCCACTTCCTGTTTAGCGTCTGCTGACCGAACATTGCTCTGCGTTTTCATGCTAGAGAAAAGAGAGCCCTGGGTCTCATTTAATGCAACTTGGACATTCAGAAGTGATGGTCCACTGGCAGCAGGAGAAAATAAACCAAAGACCAAATAACTGAAACACTGAATAAGAAGATGAGTTGTAGAAGTGCTCATTCTTACTGAAAGGCAGCATTTGGGGCAGAATAAGAGGAAACCACATGAGAACACTGAAAACTGCATTTAATTCAGCTTAAGAGGCTGGGTGTGGCTCAGTGGGCTAAGCCTCTGTGCCTGTGATTAGAAGGTTACTGGTTTGAGCCCAGCCTCAGCACATCTACAGGTCCTTGGGCCCCAGCTCCCTGGGTGCTGCTGTGGGCAGCTGCCCGTCACAGTCAGCTTGCTCTCACCTCCAGAGAGCAAGTTGGTGGCGGTGTAAGGAGAATTTATCCACAGAGATTAATTATTATTATTTTGCAAGTCTGGCCTGCCATGAGCATGTAATGGATGATTTGCCCAAAATTTTCATGAAGACTAAAAAGATTAAAAGTTTTACTTTGTTCAACAGCTCCATTTGGCAATTATTCCTTTGTCTTTGTCCCTGTCAAACTCTAGTACACCTAAGTTGCCGGACGATGCTGGAACAGCACAGGACTGGGCGGAATGGGCGTGGCAGCGTCTGCAGATGGAGCCCTGGGCACTAGGTGGTGCTGTGGTTATTGCGGCATTCCTGGCGGTGTTATTGGCCCTACTGATCTTCGCCCTGCTCTATGGCTGCTGCTGCTCCCCCCGCCCTGTCAAAGGGGTCCGGGACAGGGGCACGGTGCTCTAGAAGCCAGCCGAACCTGTGACTGACTCGAGCCGCCGACTGCTCAATACGAGGTCAATGTTGTGGGCGATCAAGGGAAAAAGTCCCGATTCTACAGCAGCGGGAACACAAAGGCTGAAAGGGAAGCAATGCTGCATCTCAGATGAAAAGAGAAACTCCCACTCTGCAGTAGGTGGCTGCTGAAGTATAAATGTACATACAAATGCTCTCTTTCTGATTTTTACCACACTAAATTGTCTTGTAGACCTACTTAAATGCCCATATGAATTAATAAACAGACATATTAAATACATGTGCTACATAATTTAATAGGTAATGTTTTATAGAGAGACAATGATGGAATGCTTCCAGAATCAGCCCCTTCCAAATACAGCCATTAAAAGCCTAGTGTTATTCTGCACAGTCCCTGTGTTTGTGTGTTTCTGCTTCCTGGGGTTTTCGCCCCGACCACTGAGTAACGAGGAGCAGTACAGAGTGACGTGTTCAGGGGACCATTGCTGCAGTTACAGTGGCCTTTTGTGCCTCAGTCGGGGACCTTTAGAGCAATCAGCTGTTCCTGTCGGATCCATGCTTGGTACTTTGGTTGAATAAAGGTCCCTTATAGTAACGCTAAGAAAACTCTTATGTAACTCAATTAATGTATTTGCTAGATTATCTTATTTATCATCATGAGAGCACTTCAGCCAGCTTCAACTTATTGTAGATATCCGTGTATCCATCTCCGTCCGTTCATCCATCCATCCATCCTCCAGCTGTTTGACTGGGACAGTGTAGCAGTGGGGCCTTGAGCGTATCGCAGGCAGCACATGTTTGCCACAATCCAAAAATATATCTAATTTCTGTTGTGACTTGACAAGAAGATGGTGTGTGTGTATGTGTGTGTGTATACGTACATACATATATATATATATATGTATGTATATATATATATGTATGTATATATACACACACACTAGTCATTTAGGGACAGAACCAATGCAGAATACTTTTTGTCTTGCCTGTAAACCATACCATACACATATTTGCCAATAAATTTTACATTTATAATGCTTAACATCCACCCATTCAATCCCTCAGTCAAGTGAACATCCTGACATCAAAGTCAATAACAATAATACAATTCTCAATGGAATTACTAAAATGTCTTGTGGTCCCAAGCTAAATGAACAATATTGAATCTCCTGGTCAGTCTTTCAATAAACTACAGTTATAAAAAACTACTTTCTTGCATAACCACATCAATAGAACCTAAACTAAAAACCGAGTTTTCGCGCTTCTGTCCTTTACACACGTGAAAGTGTCAGCCAAAGACCTCAGACTACGCAGGGGGCCGAAAGAACTGCTTTCACACCAACTTCTTCACACCTTCATTATGAAACTTTACTGGATCATCTCGTGAGAAATGATCTGGAAGCATCAATAGTAACTTTTACCGCCCTCAAATTAAAACAAACTTAGAAATACCACTCTTTAAATTAACAAAGACTTTAAATTGGAGAGTACCTACTATAATTTTCCTCGTCTCACTAATTCAAAGCTACATACCGCCACCTACAGTAAGCGCTCTTGTATCGCCCCTTACGTCATAGTCAGGATCCCAGACATGCGCACAAAGCGCCGTGACGAGTTTCCTGTGCGACTCTAGCAGCAATGGCGAGCGGAAAGAAAAATACGTTACTGTCTTCTTTGGCAGCTTATGGGGACGATTCGGAGCAAGATTCAGACCCAGAGACCGAGGAAGCAGGTAGCCGACTGGGATCTATTCAGTGACATCTGATTTTGATATTCATTTATAATTTGAGCGAATGGTTTCAAAAATCGGAACTTTTCTTTGCACCAGGTATGAAGGTATAAAGTAACTTTACCATATAGTTTACAGTATAACTTATCTAACATTCCGGTGAACTAGCTTGAAAAGGTAAAAGAAAGAAGCAATAATAAGTCATATAGAAAGTCAAAAGGTGAAAGCATTGTATTCAAATGCTACTGTTTTAAAACATGATGTATAGGTATTTAACTTTAGGAAGCAGTTTTGTATGTCACGCATTTACACCGCAGTCCGACTAATATTGGTGTAGAAAAACGTGTGGTTCAAAATTTGGCAGTAATTATACTTTCTTTTTGTGAGTAAAGCAGCTTGATAAAATCCTGAGCATTTTTATGGGTCAGAGCCAGGCAACACACTGTAATCAGTGCATGCTCCTTACCAGAGCCAGGTACCGACTGTCTTTTGCCCAAACGATACCATTTTATAGGTAGTGATATACTTTAAAAAGATAGCCAGTAGCGGGCGACCTGCAGCTCTCCAAACTTGGTTCCTCCAAGTCTGAATATTGTGCTTTGGTCACTTTCCCTACATTGATGGAGCCGAGTAACTAACCTGTGAATGAATGCGAATGTATTTTACCGAATGGGGCTGATTTCACATCTGAACGCTTGTGTTCCTTTGTGGCAGATTAAATTTTGTCAATAATGTAACAGTAATTTAAATTTGAGTTGTTGAAGCAAAACTTTTGAAGTTCATAATATGGAATGTTTTGCAGAAATTTAATGAGCATAGACTTATAACAGTTTTAGCCTGAACTACTGTTTTGGTGCTAAAGATTGACGTTTTTGGAAAACAAAATTCAGTTACTCTTCAAAATATTCGCAATAGTCTATTGTGAAATTAAGACCTTTAATCAGAATGTGTCTAGCATGATACTGCTGTAGCCCGAACAACTTACATTCATGAATCTAAGATCAGATCCAGAAGCCAGCAGTAGTTTACTCCTGGATTTTAATTGCGCAATTTATGTTACAAGTATGTTTTTTTTTTTCCTTTCACCGTTTCAAGTGATCACATCTGGTTCTTCTGCTTCTCCAGTGTGCTGCTGACTGCTGAGCCCGTTCTTGCTGTTCTAATCTGAATGCGCTCTGCCGTTTTAGAGGGCCTTGGAGGTCTGGTGTCTGCCAGCTATGGGGAGGGCGACGTGGGCCATATGGAAGATGGAGATGACAAGGGCTCTGGTGACGAAGACAGTGGAGACAGCTCCAGGGATTCGGTCAGTCCACACGTTTCCTGTTAACAGCTATTATAAACAAGGATATTATTGAGCTCTGTCTGAGAACCTCGTGAAGTCAAACACCCCCTTACAGCTCTAAATGCTCAAGATGCTCATTAGTCATTTTCCCGGCCCTGGTTCAGTCTGCAATTTCCATCCCCAGTCAAAAGACATTTTGAGACAAATTCAATTAGACTGCCATTCACTTGCTTCAATAATTCTGCTTTGCTAAAGCCTGAAGCAGAAAAATATAATAGCAGGATTACTAGCATATGTCTTTAATTGCTACAATCTATTACCATTAATTATAATAATTCCAGGGCAGAATTCTTTATTAGTTATATTAGATTTACTAGTCTGTATTACAGAATTAAGTGTCTGCTCACAGTGCCTTAGTGTTATAGCTGGGACAAGTCTGTGTTTGTGAACTGAAGGAATGTGGCTTTTTTAAGGAATTTTCTGTTCATTGTCATATTACATGTTTGTGTTTAGCTGAGTTTCTTTATTATCAGACATGTTGCACATCTCTTGTAAGAAGGTGCTGTGGAGTCCTGTTCTTGGATGTGACTAGAGGGCAACTTTCAAGTGCTTTTTTTTTTTAAATATGAAAAACACCCTGTTTTGATCATGTCTTGCGTTTTATCCTTTTAATTGTTTAGCTTACACTTTTATCCAAATATGTACTAGTGCATCAGGTAATGCATAACAAGCATACAGATGTTAAGAAGCTAACTAGCTACAAGTGCTACTAGGAAAAGAGCTATCGGAACACTGCTTAAAAACATTGCATTTGGAAAGCATTATGAAATGCAATTGAGATCCTCCCAGCCTGACAGTAAATATTAACCCCAGTACCTTTCTTCAGCACTTTAATTTGACAAATTAGGCATTTAGGTGCACATCTATAAATTGATTGTGTTCCCTCCTTCGACTCAAAATAGAAGTGATTCTGTAAAACTCATTATGTTCATCAAATGTAACATCACCTGTGTCCTTTTCTCTCACTGGTTCCTCTAACTCTTTAAGTACTTAGAATATTGGTCATTTTAATAATGTGCGGCCTTGCACTGCATTGCAGGTGGTATGTTTTTTTTTTTTGCAGCATAGCTGGAAAATCATTTTAGCTTTTTGGATAACTGTTAAGGATCTGGGAGGAGCTGTAGTTTTAAGAATTTAAACTTGCAGCCTTTTAGTAGTCACTGCATTTGGGAAGGAACAGTTTATAGCAGTGTTTCCTAATCCAGTCCTCGGGGACCCACAGTCAGTCCATGTTTTTGCTCTCTTTGAGCTCCTTGCCTGTCTGTATTTTTGCTCCCGCTGAAGAGGGAGCAAAAAAGTGGATGGTCTTGGGGTCCCCATGGAACAAATTCGGGAAACAAAGGCATACAGTATTTTTTATTCATACTTCAAGGGAGCACTACCTCTCTCTCCCCCTGTTCGTGGTTCTCATTTTTAACCCTTTGCATTCTTGTCTTTGTAGGAAGGGGACGAGTCAGACCTTGAGGGGGGAGACGCAGATGATTTGAAGGTATTTGGAAACCCACTGGTTGGTGGCCCTGGTAACATGGTCTGAAGTCGGAGCGGGGCTGGTGGGGCGACACAGGCTTTGCCCTCATGGGGGCAGCCTGTAAAAAATGAAAGCTGATGCAGAAAATGTCCACTAGAGGGAGGCACAGCTTTAGGCTTTGACGTCCCCCTGGTTCTCTCTTCATCCACTTATTTTCCGCTGGGCGTCAGCTAATCTGAGACTATAATGAATTGTTAGCTGTGTGTTTTTTGCTACAAGGCACTTGTATAACTGAGGAAAGGGTACAAATTAAATACTGGAGAAGTGTTTTGGAGATAATTGTATGTTCTTTGAACCTTGTCTTGAATATGGTCACGGAGTGTATTTGTTAGAGTTCTGTTTTTGAGTTTATAGTACTTCTGTTTTCCATCCACCTCTATAAGGCAGTAAGAGAGCCTTGAAGGCAGTCATAAACTGCAAGGTGACACTTGGCCGTAGACAAGGTTCAGATCGCAAGGCTTATAATGTGTAATTTACACTTCATACTGTGCTCCATCATCTTTAAAAAAAAAAAAACATCATAAATTGCTGGTCTTGCACTTCTAAATTTCACCATTGTGCTACAGGAACATAATATCCGTAAGAACGGTTTGATAGATGTCGTGTTGCCCTGGGTGTTGGCGGTGGTGAGCTTTATAAGCCGTAACTGGGCAGCTGCTGTTGGGTCAGGTAGCAGGCCCTTTTGCGATGCCGGAGTATTTGTGGCCATGCCATTGTAGTATTTATACCGCTGTCAGTCTTTGTATACTAGTATGTCTTGGTTAATTGAATTAATGCTTTGTCCAGTCAGTTGTATCTTCATATGCAGAAAGATGGAGTTTTCCTGTCGGTCTGGAATAGCATTGTGCTAAAGTTTCTAGATGTGGGCTCTGATATTTCAGTAAGGTACTTAAGCATGAGATACTGCAGTGGAAATGCTGAATTCCTTCTGTGAAATGACTGAGTGGAATCAGATTTAAGCCTGGTAAGGTAAATATAGAGCTCCTCCAGGCGCTGCGTCATGTACGAGGATGCGTCGTTTGGTGATGACGTCAATCACTCAATTATTATTTTCAGTACCTTGGAGATTTAAGCATGCTTAGGTTTGGTGTCTGTGAAGTAAGCGACTGCTGGTTTTGAAAGCTTTGCCTTGCAGCTGTGCAGGGTCATGGATGGGCATGAATCTCAGCCCTATTGTGTAGTTAGATACACTGGACCTTTGTTCTGAACATCTCTGTGCATAATGATGGCCTCATCTTTTTCTGCTGATTTCAGAAGCGAGGACCCTTTGAATAGAATGCTGTTTGGAGATCGAAGATCTGTTTGTGGCTGGGTCACGGTTATTTTACCTTGTTATGGCAATTGATTACCCTCCTAATACCCGCAGTTGCCACTATTGATAAACCCAATATAACCATATTAGAACTGATTTTCAGAGCCTTTTCAGTCTTAGTTTAAAGGGGCCTAATCACTGCTTGTTGGTTTTGGCCGCTGTTTCGTTCTACTCTCCTTTCCATGTGGCAAACGTTCACCCCCCAATCCGCCATTATGTAGGCCAGTGTGTAGTGTGTGTGTACATAGTGTGTAGTGTGTGTGTACATAGTGTGTAGTGTGTGTGTACATTTACACACAGATGTATGAGTGTAGTACATCCATGGGTCTTAGATTATGGATAAATTCTAACCGAATACATCGCTGACTGCTATATCAGAGGTGGGTTTTGCAGCCCTTTGGTTGTTGTGTAATTACATGCAAATAACAAATGTTTGTCAGCATAAAACTCTGCCTTGTTATGGAATTAAATTTTTTTTTAAGATGCATGAGATCACTGAAACTGAATACAAGGGAAGGTGTAATACCCAGGGAATTGAGGTCTGATTCAGACTGCTTGTCCTGAAAAGCTGTTCCGTTTGATATCTTTGGCTTGTCTGTATGATGGTGGCTGGTGGTCAGGTTAGGGGGGCCGGGTGGGGTGTCGTGTCCTCATGTCACATGTCACCGAGGCTGAGGTATTTCGGCTGGTCATAGACATGACCATCCTTTGGTCTGTTTAGGGCTTTTCAGGGTGGGGTAGGAGAAGGGGGGTGGGTTTGTATGAGGAGGGCAGGTGGGTAGGATTTGAAAGGGAGCTTTTCAGGATCCACGCTTCTGTTTGTACAGGCATTACTGCTGTTGCCTTGTTGCACAAATTTGGGTTTGTCTGAGACTCTTCAGATCTCAGCTCATCTATACTGGTCTGGAACGGCAACTAGTCATGCCTGATTAAAGTAAAGGATCAAGTCTGTCAAGCCCATGCAAAATCGTTCTTGACTGAAAATGATTGGAATAGGTGAATTGTAGTCGCTTCTGTTCCTGGTTAACATTGTCACCACGGTTAGAAGGGACGTTGGTGTCCCTATGATATGTAAGATCGTCGTCGGATCCCGCATGAGTTCTTGTGCAATGCAGTGAATCCCAAGCCTGATAGTGACTGTCAGTACATGTCGGAGTCCCAAATCCTAGCATTGCAGAAGAGGCTCATGATTTATACTAAGTTTATTAAGGAAAGTTCAAAGAAACCTCAAGCTAATACCCTGCGTAGCGAGTTTGAATGAAACCTGCAAAGGCGTACATAGCATGATGGGCCTGTTGGGCGTACATAGCATGATGGGCCGCACCAGTCCCGAGGTACCACCCCCACACACTGCTAAATAACACGATGTCATATATGGGTTAAATGCAGAGGACACATTTCACCGCCGCGCACTGTGCGCTGTGGTGTGTCAACAATGACAATCACTTTCACCTTCACAGGGTAGTTACACTGTGGCACATTGTAAACCATCTTCTGGAAAGGATCTCTTGCACAGTGTTTTTCTGAACGCGGTGTGTAAAAGCCCAGCCACTGTTTTCATATGCTGAAGTAAAGTTTTTAAAGATTTATATTTATAGTGGAGAAAATAAACCATGTGGATTGAGAAATGAATGTGAGCATCTGTCTGTTCTCCGACAGGCTGCGGTTTTCTGCTTATGGTCGGGGAAATAATAAGAGCGTAGGGGCACTTTATCTGGCAAGGAAACGGCGGCTAGTGCGCAGGCCTGGGGGTGTTTGTGGCTTTCTGTGCTGGTGCACGGTGATGATGCAGTCAGTGACACTGATTTCACACGGTGCCTTTATTTCAATGCACTGGCAAGTGAAGGTGTTTAACCGGCAAACTGCTGTATGCTGCTGAGTCTTAATCAATTAGCCTGTTACCTTTGTAGCTGTTTCAAAATGGTTCTGCTTTTACATTTCCCTGAAGGCTGCTTAAGGTAAAACATAAATCTGCTTCGAAAAAGAGCGACGTCGTGTAGGTGAGTCTCTGTATCCCTCCACAGCGGATGGTATCTTCAGATATTCCCGTTCGTCTGATGTCGTATCCCCACTCATGGCTGCTGAAAGCTGGGTCTTTCTTTCCTTTAATACTCCTGCCTTGTACATTCATGCGGGACGTCATTGTTCATAGCTTAAGGCGCAGCTTTTACATCTGAACCTGAGTCGCCGGTTGTATATGTGATACTTTAACTATTGCTAATGCACTTTCAGCTGCACATATATAATATGCCCCCAAGGAGAACAGCCAAGCCATGCTTCAAACAAAGGCAGAAGCACCAGAGAAGAGATTAATTTCTTCCCTCGCTTCACCAAGCAAAAGCTGGACGTAGATGATTTCAGGGAAGATATATTTTGCTGTGATCTTCCAAGCAGAAAGCAGCCCCTTTTGTTTTCCTGATTTACAGTGCCCCTCCCAAAATCGCTCTGCCTGACCACCCACCACCTCAGCCCCGCCACCTCCCCCTCCCCGTAACCTCACGTGGTACGATCCCGTTGCTTTCCTCTGTTTACTGTGTTTAGATGTGCCTGCATGGTTGCTTGGCAACCAGGTGGCAGCACTGCAGGCTGTTTTGAGGGGTGTGTATTGAGGGGGGAGAGTGGTGTGGGTGAATTGAAGTGCTGTTCTGCTCCACTGACCCAGCCTCTCCCTCCCACTCGCTCCCTCCCCCTGCCCTCCAGCTCAGTGCAAGTAATGATCCTGGTGCCTTAAGTTCACAGCCTCCTAGCACTTTAATGCTATGGGAAACAGCAACCTCCGCTTACAATGGTATGACATTCGGACAGAATACAATTTAATTCTAATCTCTGGCAGAGAATGGGGGTTTTATTTGGTTTGTTTTTAATCACTTTGAAGAACTGCAGTCATTTTAATGCTGACTTCACTGGGACAAATTTGTCCCATCTCTTTCATCATTTGCCCTCTCTCTAACCTCAGTGACAGTTTGTAAACATAAGGTGCTTTCTGTCATAAAGTATCGTGAGAAATGAGCCAATCTGTATGTTAAAGGGGTGCAGTATTGGGTCTGGGTGCCCTGCATGAGCGTGGCTTTCGCATAGTGTTACTGCCTGTGCTTGTTAATGAGCTCACTTTATAACATTCATAAACGCGTTTGTGCTTCGGGCAGCACGGAGGCTCAGTGTGTGGAGTTTGCATGTTTCCCGTGTCATGCAGGTTCCTCCTGCAATTTAAATGGATTGTTAATAGGTGTCTCTGAGTTGCCCGTAGCGTGTGTCTGTGTGTGTGTGTGTGTGGAGCTCCTGATGGCCAGCTGGCATCTGCCTGCTGTCAGAGTCTATAATTCCAGTCCTAAAAGGCTCATTTTAAGAAAATTCATTTATTTTTTTGATACTTATAATTAAAGTTATATATACAAAGAGTGAGAGTGTGTACGTGTAATGGACTGGCGTCCCATACAGAGTCTACTCCAGGGTTGTACCTTGTGTTGCTGGGTTATGTTCCTCTACCCTCTGTGACCCTGACCAGGGTAAGTAGTTAGGGGATGGATGGATGGATGGATGGATGGATATCTACATGAACCTCCATCATCTCTACTAACCCATTAACTCTGCAGCTGCTGAACATCTGGAGGATCTACCGGCAGGGATCCCATAGCGTCTTCATTGGGTGTTGTCTCTATGTTACCGTCCATTGAAGTGCTCTCTCCCGTAATCTGTCTTTCAGGAGATTTCGGAGGGTGAGAAGCGGGATCCCAATGAGCTGGTTGGTAAGTACACCGGAAAGGCTGCGTGAGGATGCTGTTCTTGTGCAAAAGAATCAATAGGAATTCCTGCCAGGTGACGATTCATTCACAAGGTCCCATGGATTATCCATATTCATGCCATTTTTGTAAGTCTTTAAAATGGTGCCCAGTATTATAATAGCACGTGCTTTAGTATTTAGTCACTATTTTGTGGTAGCCTTACCATATGAATTACATTTAATTGGCTTTCGAGGGTTTGAGTGGTTTCAAAGATCTGACCCTCTTTGGGAGTTGCACAATCACACTGGGATCTTTTGGCCTGTGGGCAGATCTTTGAATGGGGAGGAGTTTAAGAAGCCCTGATACTGGCACTAACAGCCTGCCCGTGTCGGCTGTGAATCACGGTGTTGGCGCACGCAGGCAGGAGCGGCGGCTGGAAGCTCCCTCTGCCGCTCCTGCTTCAATAGGATGGAGATCCAGAGCCGCCTGGGAGACGGCAGCGTTTTCTGGCCCACAGAATCTAAAGAAAGCGTAGCTGTGATATGCTCACCTGCAGGGGCCGTGGCGGCTTAAGCCAGCAAGCTGGCGCTGAGTGAGATGTCAGCGGATTTCGCTTTAGAGAAATACAGGATCAGCCAAGGGAAGTGCACTCATTTGCACTAAATGCCTTTTAATGTTGGATGATAACCGATTTGTTGCTACTATGTAGCCGGTCATGAATTTAAAGTTAAACACCATATATGTGCCAGAAAAGACCAAAGTGTATCAAACTTGGGGATTCGAGTTAATGGGCCTGCAGACATTTTAGAGTAGCATGAGAAATGACTCTTTGACGGACAGATTTGAACTGCTGCAATAGAACCCAAAGCCCACGGAGATCTGAAAGATTCAGAGGCGCATGAATCCGGGTTTGAATATAGATCTGTCTGCTATTACTCCTCTGACGTCAGTCTACAAACTGCTGTCTCGAATGTTCGAAAACAGGGTCACTGTCTAAGCGGCCTGAGCCTCCGTCTCAAACGGGCCCCCCGTTACCATGGTAGCGTGCCAAGGATCCTTAGGAACCCGATTGCTGTGCAGATGGAGCTTCTTCAGAGCATGTCTTTGGTCACATGCTCCTTGTTTTATTTTATCTTTCATTTTTTTAAATTATGCTTTAGTACCAGAATTAACTGATTTTATTTGCTGCTAATGCTGAATTGTTTATTTTACCAAGACTGGGACCTTTTTTTATAACCAGTATACTGGGACCAGGGACTTCCTTTTCTGCGCATAAATGTCCCAAAAAGTTTTTTTTGATTTTTGTTTAGCATGAGTAAGTCATTTGTGCTGGTCATGGCAGAGTCACTGGAAGTGCGTTTGTTTGATGTCCGGTGTTACCTGAATTTAATTTGTGAGGCCTTCTACCTATAACGAACACAAAGGGCCCTTTGTTTGGCACATTGTTGACCAAAGCCGGTGTACTGCCAGACAGCATCATCCATCCTGTCACATGACCGGTGTGTCTTGGGCAATAGTCCCCATATCTTAATATCATAATTCCCAGTGATAAGGCTCTGTCAAGGCGTGTCTCCACCAGCGTCCCTGCGGCGGTGTGGATGGGGTGCTTGTACTTTGACGGACTCCTGATGAATGACTCAGTGTTGGGAGCACCCAGGAAATGAGTCGGACAGCAGTGGGAGGGGGAGTAGTGTGCTGTGGGTGGAAATTTCAGGTCCAGAAAGTAAAAAATCCAGACCAGGATTTTGTTTAAACCAACCAATTGAGTATAAAGAGTCACTGTCACAGAGTACTCAGCTGGTTGGTTGAAACAAAATCATGGTCTGGATTTTTACTTTCTGGACCTGAAATTTCCACCTCTGGCAAATACAGCCACAGCACGTGGCACACCACTCACACTGGTGGATGTTTGTTTCGTTATTAAAACTATGTTGCTGTCGTCAAATGTGTCACGATGCAGGTCCTGTTTGGAAATCGACCATAAAATTTTCCTGAACGCTTGCAGTGGAGACTGGTTTCTGTGGATGTGCACAGACATTCATGCACTGGAGGAATGGAATTTCTGGTTAATTGCGTGCACCAATCAGAAAGGCAGAATGAAATGTTGGAATCCTCTCCTAAAGGTCTTTGGAGAGACTCTTGAACATGTGCTTTGTTCTCAGCACACAAAGACCATGCTGATTTGGGCGATTCTTGGCCTTTTCATTGGTGTTCCTGTGTCCTGGTGTAACTGGTGCCTACGGCCAGGCTCTTGAACTTTGTATGTGTGTGTTTACGGTGCCACTGTGGAAATGAGCCTGGAAAGTGACCCATCCTTCCTGGTCTCGCCTCAGGCCGGACAGGATGCTGTCTGGCAGTTTAGACATATGTGAAAGCAATCTTTATTGCATTGTTCAACTGCATGATTGGACTTCTGTTTATATTGTGGGTTTACACCAACCAGGCTTGAAGCTGCACTGTTTTATTTCCATTATGCTAGTCCCTACTGTGTGTTTTGTGATTGTTGTAGCCAAAACGCTTGATTTTGCAGTGACTTTTCTCAAAAATTTGTATAAATTGGTGGGAAGTTTTTAAACCATTACAAGTAAAGGAATAAATTACTTTTTGTTATTTTTCTCTATCACTTTTATAATGAATAACATTCAGTGCTTTATTTCTTTTCTGAATTCAAGAACATGTATATAATTTAGCTCAATTCAGCATTAGCTGCAAATAAAATCTGTCAAATACAATAACAGAAAAATGTATAGTTTTCATTTTCAAAGTGCCAGTTTTATGCAGACTTTTGTGCTCTTTACAATGCCTCAACATAATAAAAAGTTTGCCCCCACTTTTGTGCAAAACATTCGGTTATTGTTTTGCACAATCTTTAGAGGCAATTTTTGTTGGTAAGTGAGATGTTTGCTGCCTAGCAAAAACCACACACGAACGCACAATGCGACGGCTTCACAGGACGCGTCACGGTCCAAATGCAAGCAGTTTTATTGATTTGGCCATCTCTTGCGTAAAAGCTAGTAAATATGAAAAATTGCAAGCTCTTTCATATATTTCTAACTTGAGTTTGCATTAATTTATGTGATTGCCGAATCACAAAATCCTTGAAGGGGTTATTTTATAAGATTAACACTCTGCATTATCAGGAATTTTTAAACGAGTCCCTGAAAAAATGTCACATGCTATTTTAGACGGTAGCTAAAGCATGCAGCTAAAATGCTTTGGCCAAAATACATACAGCACCCTGTCGTGGCTGTATGTATTTTGGCCAAAGCATTTTAGCTGCATGACCCAGCCTTTCTAGAAGGTGCCGCTCAGGTCTGTACAGCGCCTGCTGAGGATACTTTGCTAGTGTCCCAGCTTCTCCGAGCAGTGTTCTCATCGAGGTCCTCTGCTGCCTTTAGCATGCTTACCATGCGTCGCAGCGAGCTCCCTCCGCCGCAGCCGCATGCCGTGATGCATTCATCACATCGGCCGAGAACTGATTGCTACAGGGTTGGCTTGGCAGGAGCGAGGATTCAGCTCCCCAAACAAGGATTACGAAAATCTTATTTATGTTCTGTACAGTACACAATGCCCTGCGGCTTAGTTTGAAAAGCTTAAAAAAATGGATGGATACTGGATTTCAAAGATAAGTGGACAGGGTGTTGCCCTGTAACCATGATCTCAGAAGTCCAAGGGGGGGTTTCATACTGGGGGCTTTGGGGGGCCACTGGTGTTAGTGGCAGTGACGTGGGGAGGCTGTAGCTAGGAGACTCCACTCTGTTACCCGGCCCACCTGCTTCTTTCTCTCAGAACGTGCTCTTCTCTTCTGTCGTCTGGCGTGCCCGATCAGGTTTAGAAAAATAAAAAAAAGGATGAGTATTCTGCAGCCCGAGGGCAAACATTATTCTGTCTCCTGGTGTGAAGCTCACCAGGGCATGTCTGTGGCTGTTCTGCAGGCTCTCATCCCAGGCGTTTCTCCAGTAGAGGGTGGGGTCTGGGCTGGGCCTGATGGGTCTGTGTTCTCTTCCCTCAGAGGTATGGGGTCCTCCTGGCGCCGTTTACCTTGGCCTCTGAAGAAATTCTTAACTGTCGGAGTGGGGTAGAGGTGGTCATGTGGTCTTGTCCAGACATGTGAGATCTGAGAAGGTTGTAATGTGAACTTGGACAGACTTTAAGCGTGAACTTCACATTTTTGCACAAATTTTAACTGAGTAAAGGCTGGCATATGTTTACCAATCTTCTGTGCTCAACTTTCAACCACAGAGTGCCAATAAAATCTGACATTTATGTAACAATTGCTAAGTCCTTGACTTTTAAAGCAGAATATTCTTGTTTGCTTGTGTTAAATGATAAGATGCCACAAGAGAATGTTATAGGTAAGAGAATGGATAGTGTGTGTTCTGTAGGGCGGTAATAAATAGCTATCGTAACATTTTTGTAAAGCTCATCATTATTAGGAATAGAATTTAATGAGCAATACAAGTAAACGCAGACCAGCCTTGGTACTTGATTATTATGCTGGGGGGTTTAGCAGTGTTTGAGCTGGAATGCCTTGGGACTATTCTGGATTGTGAGGCCACACTGAAGGGAGTATATCCACAAGGAAGGTCAGAGGTGAGGGACAGCAGGGTTCAGACAAACAAGAGGAAGAAATGTAGGAGGCCCCATTTAAAAACCATCTATCAACAAAACCAAGAAACTCCTCAACTGACACACAACAGGGAATTTATGTATTGCGTGGTCACTTTCTAGGGTGCATGCAAACCCACTTAGCGGACTGTGTTAAAGCCCTCGAAGATGATCAGTGCAGTTGGGATCAGCTGGGCCTCGTGGTTTTTCAGCGGTGGATTTTTTGCAGATAAACAGCAGTGCTGGACTCCAGCAGCATCCTCTGGTTCATAATGATGCAGAGTGTTGCCAGAATTTGCCGTGCAGCATAATCAGTTCTGCCACTTGGCCCCATGCACAGTGTCCAGCAGACATGTTAGGGGTGGAGTCTTTGTGGAGTGATGTATCACATTGGGAGGAGGACCGACACCTATTATTCTATCTCACTGCCTATAGGGACCATCAGCCATTCATTTAGCAGGATGAGGAATCCAGTCGCGTAACCCATCAGGCGCAATGTGAGCCGGTTCCGTTTTCTGTTTGTTGCGCCCATAACCCGTTAATGTGGCAGTCGGGGTTGAACCTGGCAACCTACTGTACAACATTGGATGATACTCAGGAAATACTCTGATACTGTTACATAATGCCGTTATGTCTAGCAGAAGTGACACAGCCTCAGTAATATGATCAGATATTTAAATCTTTTGCATTACTTAATGAATGATGGCAATTCTCCATTACTTGGGCTGGATAGTAATTTACTGTTTGAGGTTCTCTATGAAATGAGTGCATTTTAGCTGTAACAATGTGCATAGGACTTCTCTGAGAAGATGTAGAAGGTGCAGTAAGTATTTTTATAATGGGTCAATCTGGCCTTGTTGAATAAATGTTGGATTTGCCCAGCATCAGCGTACCCAGATCCTGGTGAACTCCTGTGTTGAGGAGAGGAGCGTATGAGGAAGTCAGAATTTCTTGGCCTCCAGTCAGGAATATTATGGAACTCTCCCCATAGAACTCCTCCCAAAACAAGCCCCAACAGTCTGCAGTGCTGAGGTGGGGGCGGCTTCATACCAAGGCTTATTTTTTAAGTGTCAGGCATCCATGGATTTATATCAACCAGGTACCATTTTCTCAGGGAGTTGTCCCTTCAGTGCAGCTCCTTTTTCCGGTACATCACATTCATCCTTTTCAGTGACGCATTACTTCCACTTAAGTGTAATAGTTAATATTGACATGATACACTCGATACTTGACAGCCTGTTTTATGTGATCAGCCCTTTAACACAAAAGTAACTGCCCGTTGTGTGTAGGAATATTAATATTAATGGTTATTAAAAATACAATATATTTATGAAGTATGACTCCCAGCACTTGCTGTTTGTCTGTCCATATCGTGTTGTATATTTTTAATGCTTTATTAATCCAGTGTGCTTGTCCGGCAGCTCAGTTTTCGGAGAAGGTGAGGAACATGTCACCCGACGAGATCCGGATTCCCCCCGAGCCTCCGGGACGCTGCTCCAGCCACTTGCAGGTGAGGGGCGTGAACCTTCCTCTGCTCGCCACTCCGGAGCACCTGTCTTTGACGATAACGAGCCCTTTGACTGTAAGGTCAGGCGATCAGCGTATGAGATAAAGCACCGCAAACCGCAAAAAAAAGAGAAACCTCTGAAGTTTATGACTGGCTATTTCCAGCTGACTCACTCCTATTGTTTGTTTTGTTTTTCTGAGATTCTCAGCGGCTGCCAGTCTGTCGCTTGGTACCCAATGCCAGCTTTATCCTTATCTGCCCCGAGCTCCTTCGCTCCGCCCCATTTCAGTCACAGTCCATCAGCGGTCTATGCCGCTCTTGTAGTGTGTCTCTGGGCCTTGGTGTGAGTGTGAGGATCCTTGTAGCCAGCCATACCCAGAGTGGGGGCAGTAGGGTGGGGGCAAGGCTAATAAACCTTGGTTTCCAAGTAGCCAAACACTTTCTTCAACACTGACAGCAGCGATTGGCCAGAACAGACAGACAACCCTTTAGGGAATGTAGACTGCCAGAAACCATAAGGGAAGAAATCCTCCTTTCATGTTCTTAATTTAAAAGAAATTAAGAAAAACTCAGTCGGTCATCTGTAATGCAGCTCCTTGCGTCTGACGGCCCCCAGTGCCCCCATGTGGGAGGGGCTTAGTGGTGGTGCCTGGTCTCCTGTCTCCATGCTTCCTGCTAAGTTCCCCGGGAGGCCAGAAACGGTCGAGCCTGAAAGTGCTAGAAAGGCTCTGTGAATCGCTTCCGTTACTGGGACACGTGGGGCTGGTGGTCACTATCCCTATAACGCCTTTGGCCCGGTTAATAATGTGACCTTTTTCATCTTTTAATCTGTGAACGACATTTTCTGCAGCAGTTATTGTTAATTTAAACCATAAACCCTGATGGTTTACTCTCTGGAATAGAATGATCACTGATGTCGTACTTACAAGTTTGGAAGTACTGGGTGTTTCAAGCCCATATTGGTTCCCCTTTGTACACCATGTGACATGATCAATCAGCAAATCACGATGCTCTCATCACTTGTATATTGTATCCACCAGTCATTTATTTGCGCTTGATTACTTAATTAGCAAGGAAACCCCTTAAGTGGTTTAATAGTAAGATATTAATTAACCAGTCTAAGAGCCGGTGTTGTCTTCTGCAGTAATTACAACCATGTGGTAAATGGAAGGCTTTGCCTTGGAGCTGCCAGCTCTGGGCATCGTTGTAATGCAAACGGCAGCATTTTTTTGAGAGCGAAAGTTAAATTCACAGACAGCTTGCTGACAGCAAGCCATGGCAGTAGCTCTGTGGGTGCCATGCTGGGGAGCGCTGGTCGCTGCAGAGGAGAGGAGTTTTTAGGGAGGGTGGTGTTGGCTCTGCAGGGCATTGTGGGATAAGAGACCCGCCTCTCTGTTCCATGCGTCGGCCTCCTAGTGACTAATATCCTGCCGGGCAGATTTCACAGGAAGGGCTGCAGTGTTTCCAGCTAAACATTTGTTTTGTTGTCACAGTACAGACTGGATAGTATGCCAAACTAGACAATTTTTATGTGTGTGTTTTTTTCTTCTATGCCATTTCTCACGCACAGGTTATTCAAATGTTCCTTTTGTGGTGCACTGACTCCCAGTATAGAGGTCCTCTAACCTATCTGATCAAAGCTGGAGTGAAGCAAATGGGAACGATTGGCCTCAGGCCAGTCCCTGCATCTCCAGGCTTGCTGTGAAATATTGCCCTTGCTTATCAGAAAATGCCTGCCCTCAGATCCCTCTCCCGCTGGCGTGATCTGCTTTGGCTAGGATCGGCCTGCTGTGAAACAGGGTTTCTGATCTGTATCCTGCACTGAACAGCCAGACCCCCTGGGAGCAGACTGGCGTTGCCCAAGCTGGATGTGCAGATATTGTGCATCTGTGTTGCTTAATGGATGACTGTTTTATTGAGAAGCTGTATGTTTGTATGAGAAGGGGATTGTTTTATTCTTTACACGTTCAATCCTAAAAGTGTGCCAGAGCACCTCTGTCTATCTCTCTCTCGGTCCCACAAAGAACCCCAATTTTCTAAAAATCTGTGAATGCAATCAAAAAAACTAAAAATGCCAAAATGCTTGTATTTTGTTTGATTACTTACGCTTAAGGTTAGTGCTGGGTAGTGGTTAAGGTTGTCGTTTGCCTTGTTTCCACCAATGTGGTGCTGTTGCTGGGCCTTTCCCAAATCTGGCACCGATTCCATGCGTTTCCACCACAAAAAAATGGCCCTGGGCCAGAAAAATTGGCTCCAATGTGGCACCACAGAAAAGCTGGGCTCAGAATTAGGCACCGTAATAATAGCGAAAGTGGAACGGCCTATCGCAACCAAACCTTCTGCATACCTGGAAAATTCAATCCTTAACCAATATAGTGAAATAACTTGCCACCTTATTAGCGGAATAATGTAACATCTGTTTTTTTTATGCTGTGAAAAACGAAAGCTCGATCTGCTGGCCGGATTTAATAATAAACTAAAATATGTTGCAAGTCGAATAAATAAAATATTGTGGCGTGTGAGTGGCAAACAGATCATGAGGCGTACTGCAAAGTTCAGTTTTTAGCATTGGTGCGCTGTCCTTAAAAGGACATCGGTAAAACGGCAAGGGAGAATAGACTAACACACAGACGAGGGAGCCTTTGCGGGGACAAAATGTCATATAATAGCTTAAAATTGTATGGATTGTAATTGCTGAAAATAAGATTTTTTGTAAAATATTAACTTGCACTAAAACACTCAATATTATAATTCACATAAATGATGCAACGTTACATCGTTTTTGTATTCTTTGAAAACAAAAGATCGATCTGCTGGCCAAATTTGAATAATAAAGTATAAATATGTCGCACGTTGAACAAATAAGTTTTGTTTTTAGCAGGTTCTTTTATTGTGTAATCTGTAAAAGGACAGCAGTAAGACAGCAAGCGAAAATAAACGGACTCGCACAAAGACTGGGAGCTTTTGAGGAGACAGAAGTGGGTACAGGTAATAGAGACGGGGCGCCTCGCTTCGGCAAAATAAATCCAAATAAGAAATACAGATTAACCTGTACTTTACTTGGGCAGGTTCTCAAAAGGCACCAAGCAAGAACCGGCACCCGCACCAACTCCATGTTGGTGGAAACGACAATTATATGAATATGTGGACTGTGTGTGTGTTTAAATGTGATTTCATCTTGATAGGAGAAGATTCAGAAGCTGTACGAACGCAAGCTGCATGGCGACTTTGACACAAACCGCCACATCCAGAACAAGAAGGAGTTCCGTAACCCCAGGTACGTCCTGCGGCCCCCGACAGGGAACTTCTGCACCAAGCGGGGGAGAGACAAGTGTGTTTGACCTCTGTGTCCTTTTTGCAGTATTTATGAGAAACTCATTCAGTTCTGTGGCATCGACGAGCTCGGCACGAATTACCCCAAGGTACGGCTCATTCACTCCTGTGCTGTGTGAGATGCCTCTGGAAGAAAGTAGATCAGAGGCTGGAAAATTTCACACTTTTTTTTTTCTTATTATTTCATACTTACTTGTGAATGGTTGTATTTAAATGCTTGATTAAAAAGTTTAACAAATTGCTTTTGTATACAGATCTTACATACCAGTCTTCTGTGATGGGTGTTAAGTTGTTACCATTTATCTGTGTATCGCTCAGCATTAAGTTGTAGTTGTAATGATTGTTGTTGGAAAGTGACATTTTGTAACTGGTAGGGTGATATCCATTACAGGTATTTTATTCTGTAGCCACCTCCGCTGAATTTTGTACCATATTTCTTACCGGTCTTATCTATATTTTACACTGTAATGCAGCTGAACAACATCCTTATCATGGGTCGATAGCTTTACCTTCATGCTTCTCTCCTTATTCTCCAGGACATGTTCGATCCACATGGCTGGTCTGAAGATTCTTATTATGAAGCTCTAGGTATTCATTTGAGTGCTGTTGTGTTGGTCCACCTTTTCTTTGGCATTTTGTCCACACTGTGTTAAACTGGTTTTTGTATCTGGTTGTCTGGACAGCCAAAGCTCAGAAAATAGAAATGGACAAACTGGAGAAGGCAAAGAAAGAGCGGACGAAGGTGAGCAGGCCTTACAAGGTTTTGAACCTTCTTGGTCGCTACCAAAAAATAAATTTGTCATCTGCATAATTGGTCAGTGTGCAATACATTACACATCTCAATGCTAATTTCCACCCAAACCCTCTATTGCTCAAGCTGTCCGAAGTTTCAGTTCAAGTCAGTCATCTCTAGATGGCTTGGCTGCACGCTTGATAAACATGCCATATTTATGACTTTAAAGTAGAGAATCCTGTTTGAACAAGCTTTCTTTGCCTGAGTAAAATGTATTGGAATGGATTGGCAAGTTTTAACAGATTAGTCCATTTCGTGTAGAGTCATCAAGCTTCTTATTGGGCAGAGGGATGTAGCACATGGAGAACGTTCTGTACAGAGGTGGAGTTCTCTGATGTTGTGGTTAGGAGACGCCTCTTGTTTAGCAGTCTTTGGTTCCGTCTAGTACAGCCGGCTAACCGCAACACACTGATAGCAGAATATATCTTTGACCCTTGCTGACTCATATGGTTTTCGCCTTACAGATCGAGTTTGTGACCGGCACCAAAAAGGGTACAACCACCAGTGCTGCTGCTCCTACCACCAACACCGCCAGCACCACGGCAACGGGTATGAACACCGGTCACCGGTGTCGGCCGGCAGAGCTGCATCCACACTGAGCACCAGATCATCTCGTTTCTGACCTTTGCATATCGACCTGTGTGTCGTAGTTACAGCTTTCCCAGTCAGGGTCACAGTGATCGAGTGCTTTGGGATGTGATCCTTTGTGCACAGGGCGTGAAATGGCATGCAGCCTGAATGCCAATCTGTGTAGAAGACATATGGTAGACATACATTTAAGAGGAAACCATAACTTCTGTTCGGGAAAAAACCTGTAAATGAGAAATAATTGCAGATTCCTTATGTAATTTTCAAAAAATAATGTAGCCCTCTGTCAGCTATCAGTAGTGTTTTCTGTTAATTTCATTAGTCCTGGTGTTGTGATGTCACCCCTGACTCAGACGCCCAGAAGAGGAAGAGCAAATGGGATTCTGCAGTTCCTGTCACTCTGGCCCAGCCGGCGCTACTCACCACCACAGCCACGCTGCCCGGCGTCGTCTCTGTCACTACCACAGCCAGCGGCACCAAGACCACTGTCATTTCCGCTGTTGGCACCATCCTGAAAAAGGCCAAGCAGTGAGAGCCCGGGTGACTCTTCCGCACGTGTCCCGCCCTTCAGGAGAGGTTCTTCTTGCCAGTCTCAGTAGTGTGGTCGGCCCAGTCCCTGCTGTTTTGACCTGCTCAGGATGGACAATACTCGGAGAGAACGTTTACCTGGGCATCCTATTCTTCCCCCTTCATCAACTTCTACCTTCAAATCTCATTGCCGCAGTCTCTGACATCCCTAAATCAAGCTTTAATAATTGCATGCCCATTGTATTCCAACCAACATCCGCTTTCTTACACTTTGTTGTATATTTACATTGAAGTGAAGCCAGCGGTATATATAAATGGGAGAGCAATAGTTTCCAGTTGAGGAAAATGGTTCTCTGTCAGGGTTACAGGTTGTTGACTGGAAAATGTATGGCTAGGCAATTAGAGCTACCTGCGTTCCTGTGGCTGCTTGGCAACTATACAGGTTGAGAGATTGAAGATGTCCCCCTGTACTTGTGCAACCATTGTAACATTTGTGGTTTCCCCCCACCCCTGCCCCCCCCCCCATTCAAAATTTGGCCACCATTGAGGCCCAAGTTCACTTCAGGTCTCTGGCTTATCTGCTTGTTCATCTCGCAAGTGAAAGGAGATGCATACCTGGGAAAGTTGGCTCTCTTCCTAAAGCTTACCTTTCAGTGTTCTAATGAGAGACTGCTCGTTAGGGGGGCAATTCACATCTAAGAAAATGACATTGTGTGTCGTCTGTCATTTTTATTGTTTTAATGCCTGTTCAAAGACTTTTTGGTAATATTTTTTACACAGGAATGTTAATGCTGATGTGTGTAGAGGAATAAAAGATGTCTGTACTTGTGTTACATTTAATTCCTGTTTTACCTGCTGTTTTCTAAATATTTTGATGTAAAAAATTTAAATGGGAATAACCAGATTGGTGCTACTCCTAACTGGATCTTATAAACCAGTGGTACTCAACCGTTTTTTGCCCCACGACCCAATTTTTACCATGCCAGCTCAGGTGCGACCCTATTTCAAGTATAGGTTTAAATTAACGCTATGATCAAGCACACAGTGCACTCTGCAATTTACGCCAATCAATGCCTGTCGCACAAATCTGATTGGATGGGCCAGTGAATTTTAAACTAAGCATCTGCAGTTTGCCGCCTTGGATTGGTTGAGGGTTCACTAGTTTTGTGCTAAGCAGTTCAGTTCCAAACCCGTTTATATAGGTTAATTCTAGGATTGCAGCTGGGAAATCTGATCGTGGACCAGCATAGGAGCTTGCTGATTTTAAAATCAACTCTGCCTCGCAACCCTTTCAGAACTTGCTGTGACATGGGTTGAGAATCGCTGTTACAAACATCTCAAACAAAAGGTATTTTAAGTGGAAGATCACTGGACATCAGGTGATACATGAAACAATGCTTAGCTGCAGCACTTGGTCTGTTCATTCCTTGAAAAAGGTGATTTCAAACGTAGTTCCAGTTTTGTAGCCAAATGTTCTGAAATAAAACAGCATAACCATGCAAAGGGCAGTGCATTCACTTAAACATCTCTTAGTTACATTGATAATATTACTAGTGTTATTTATGTTTTATAATTGGATGCATAAATAATTTACAGAATTATGGCTTGTATGGGTTATTAAACAATGTAAAAAGAAAGCTTGCAGCCTTGGCCTTTCCAGAAGTCTGAGGAACACATCTGTTATCCAGGTGCCTGCTTGATTTAGTCTTCGCATCTGGGTCCCGTACAACTCGGCTGATAAGAAACGCGCTGACTTCTGAAATGCCGCAGGGGTCAAAGGTGAGTGTATGCGCAGCCCAGATGCACAGTAGGAAGCTGAATCATTAAGGAGAGTGGGGGCGGGGGCAGGTCTACCTATTTCACAAGGGAATTCTGCAAGTACACCGATGGTAGACGTGTTGGAAGAGGGGAATGCACTGGGCGTGGTGAGCGCCTGCCTGGTGGTGGTGACTGCTTGTTTTTAAGGGGTCCATGCCTGCGCAGCTGAAAGATTTTGATTTTAGTCATATACATTCTTCCACATCACAAAGCCCATCCTACTAAGCGCCAGGCAGAGTAATTAGAGAATGGATGATTGTATGTAAATGGATGTTGTGCAATTCATAGGAAGTTAATGTGGAGTTTCAGTCGTACGAAGAGGTATGTGGAGGTATGTACTTTTTCTCAGTCCGCTGGAGGACAGGTTTGGAAAACATCCGTGTTTCTTGCCAACTGGCTTTGGCATCCACCTGTCATCTGGATAGCATCTTTAAGAAGAATAATCAGGTGGACTTAGAATAAGTTCTTTAAGTGTAATATGCTGGTGGTGTTTGGGCTTTGACATTATAAGAGATCTTGTCCTCAGGCTTTCATGGTGGTGTAGAAATGCCTGGGTCTGACCCTGTTATCTCGTTTCTGTATATGAGTTTTCACCCAGTTTTCAATGCCATTGCCAGGTGCAGAAAGTACAAATCCAGACCAAGGTTTTGTTTCAACCAACCCACTGAGTATAAAAAGTCACAGTCACGGAGTACTCAACTGCTCGGTTGAAACAAAACTTTGGTCTGGATTCGTACTTTCCACCTCTGGTCATTGCCATTGTTCCTGAGTGTGGCAGATCCCCTTTTGCGGGTCGCCTTTAAAGGCATGTATGTGCAAATGTCCTTGTTGTTTGAATGTATACTTATAGACAGTATTTGAGCACGTGTGAATTTTCCCAATCTCCAACACTCATAAGTGTTGTGAAATGTGAGCCTAACCCCCCCCCCCCTCGTGCCACATTACGCAGAATGTCTCTCCTGCCCTGCTGGCACTGTTCCGCTGTGCTGGGGTGTGTTCTCAGGTCCGCAGGCTATGTAATTTAAGCTGTCGGAGACTCATGCATTTATGCCGTAAGCTCCTGCCCTGCCCCGGCCTCCGTGCTGAGCGGCATGACCTGGGTGTGAGTCACTGAGCACACCTGGCGTGCACGGGGAGCAGTGCACGGGGAGCTCACCCGTCTGATTGTGACACAAAATTCACCCAGGATCTATGTGTGTAATCGGGACTTTCATTTGCATTTTGATTGCTGACAACATACCAACATATATTATATTACACAATTCACAGGGGCCTAAACAATGATTACGGCATTTAAACTTCATAGAAAGTTTTAGAATATAACCTTTAGAATGTACCCTTTATTTCCTTTGAAATAAGCTGTGACCAAATAGAAGAGCTCTGATAAACTGCAGATAGCAGGCACCATGTGATAAAGACATGGAATTAATGCTGAATGTTCCTCTGAACCTGTTGGCCTGTCATTGAGGCACTGAAATGACACACACAAATATGTTGGTGTCTTTCTCATAAAACTCCTATAAAAAGTCATTCTTGGTGTCTATAGTACTTGTCCAGTGTTGGGTATTGGTGGCCTCACACCTTCACGTTTGGGGTTTGAATCCTGGCATTGCTGCCTTGCACTCATAGCTTCCAGGACAGACTCTGGATCCCCACAACTCTGAATAGGATAAGCGGTTACAGAACAATTGGTGTCTTTAAATTGCTCATAATCTATGTATGTGCCCTGTGCCTTTGGCCTCCCTGGACCAGGATAAATTGTTAGTTGATGGATAATGATTCTGCTCTTGAAAAACAGAAGTTGTATGTAGGTTTCTGAATGAATATCGTTAAGTTATTTTGCTTTATTTTAAGGATTTTGTTCGTTTTGGCAAAATTGCAAAAAAAAAGAAACGTTGCAAAACTAGAAAGAGATCAAGGAATGAAAAATATTCTTGCACAAACGACACTTTGAAACGAAGTGCTGCTACGTATGGATGCTAGTAGTAATATTTAAATACACAAATATTTTTAATTTATCTCCTCCCTGCTTGCTTTCCTGTATCAATTTATAGAGGTGTTTTTCAATTCCCCGCAAAGGCAGCTGACAAAGGCTATTGAATGAATTCATTGGTCTAAAAACGTGACCGATTGTTATGGAAATTGTTAGGAGTCCGGTGCAGGGAGGCAGGAGTCCGTGAGGGAGCCGCGGAGTTTGGCTAAAAGCGAAGAAGCAGAGGAGCGACCCAGCAAAGTTCGCGGCAGCATTGCAGTCCCGTCGAGATGTGACTCGGATACACCGTTTGTGGTCAATTCATTTCCAGAAATTGGTTATGCACGTGAAGGATATAACAAATAACGTGACTTAAGCGTTTTGAAATTGAAGTAAGTATTTTGCATTATTAGATTTTGAGATCTGAGTTTAAATGAACCAAAGACACAAATAAAGAAATTATTTAAATATATCTCTTCTCGCAGTGATGCAATATGATGGAAACACCTGTTGCTTATTTTGCGTTTAGTGGCATATGCTACTATAACAGCTTTCAAATAGAAGAAAAAACACATTATTATAGTTTCTACGTAGTTCTACAACTTTGTCGCTTCGATTAACTCAAACGTCATTCTGTATGTTTCAGGGTAAATATTAGCATCTAATATGATTTCGATGCATGTGAAAACATGAAGTTTCAGTTATTTGCGTGTTTCAGAAAAGTAATGAGGATTAAGCATCGTCAGTTGTTTACAGAAGGGCTGCGGGTCTGAATGCCCCTGTCTTCGAGACTCGGGGGAAGACCGTCAAGAAGCTGCTGTATTGTACTCAAACTTTCAGCCATTTTAAGCATTTTGGATTGAAAGAGCGTTAATTTGGATGAGTGAAGAGCATCGGAATGTAGGAGCGTGGCGTGGGGCAATCTGAGCAGGATGTGGGACAGCCTCTCTCCTTCATGTGATAACTTCACTTTGCATGTATAATATAGGGACCTGTGTGATTTTATGTTCTTGGAAGGAAACTAGGTGTTTCTGATACTTCTGTATTAGCGTGATTCCACATTTCTGCAGTTTAGAAAATCCTGAAGAAGATGCAGTGGCCTTGCTGTGTCTTTTTTTGGGGGGTGGGACAGAACTGTGGTATTCTTTGTCAAATGCCCATCCAGCTACTAGATGCCGCACAGTTCAGGGCGTTGGTCAGAATTACAGGGAAGCACAATCAAATATGTACTCTGTGCACATTGTAACTTTGAGTCCTGTCATTCCAGTAATAACAATCTCCTAGTCCAGTGAAAAGAATGTTAAGCAAAGGGGTTATTCCTGTTGTGCTTGGGAAAATAAAACTACAGACTAAAGTCACATTTAGAAATTTGTAAAAGAATTCTCCATTGATTTTTTTTTTTTCAAAAGTAGAAAAGGAAAATTATGCAATATTTTAAGTCACAAGGTTGTTTAATACACTGCAGTATCTATTGTGAACACATTATTGATGATAATTTTATGTGTATAAAGAACTGTAATGTACATCTCAGTGGGTGAGATAACACTGCAGGTTGGTGATGTGGTGATTGTCATGTCAGAACAGAGACTGCTCTCCTGGTGCAGTGCAAGATAGGGCTTGCAGTGTCTAGCATTTCTGTGTTACAAAGTAATGGAACAACAAGTAACATAACAAAGTAACAGGAAAATCCTACAAGTGTTTTTGAACAGTTAAACTGGAGAAAGATGCTTGCATCAGGCTTATGAGGGAAGTATGGAGCGGATCAGCGCTCACTGCAAAGCTGACGGCGGGGGCTGTTTTTCAGCTGCGTGGCGGATCACTCAGAAAGAGGCGATTTTTCTCCCTTGGCATGTCTGTGTGCACAGAGGTCACACTCTGGAGAGAGCTTGGGCTGACTGGCACAGTCAAATCCCTCCTGCTCAGGAATGCAGCAGCCTACACCTCTTCTCTCTCCCTCACTGCTCGCGTGTATCTGTACGCAGGCTACAGGACGCATGCGTGTGTGTGTCTGTGTGTCTGTGTGGGTTTTACAGGAGCAAATACAATCAACTTTCAGCTTTATGCTGTGGCATTCAAGGATATACCTGTCAAAATACAGTAGTGTGTGTGTACGTGTGTGTCACTCCACGTCTGTTTGTGCAGTCCTGACTGCGCGTTTTTTACGCAGCCTTTGGGCATGGTTCTTGCTGCCCCTCCCAAGAGGGAGGTGGGGGAGGGAAAAGGTACGTCAGTCTCAAGCCCACACAGGTGAGCCATGCCGGGAGGAACGGGGCAAGGTGAGAGGCCCAGCCTCATTTAATTAGTGACACCTCTGAGATATAAAGGAAGGGGAGGAGAGAGGGAAAGAGGAAGGGAAGGTGGTCATATACGCAGCACACCTGAGAAAAAGGTGGGAGGAGCTCAGTCTGGGGGAGGAGCTAAAGCTCTCACACAAACACCCTTATTACTTTTCAACCTTGTTCTCTCCCAGTCACTCTCACTTCTAGGCACTGTCACGCCTGAGTGTGCACACGCACGCGCACACACACGCACGCACTCACATTCTGAAGCACACCGTCTGGCTCTGAGGTTCAGGGGATAAAAGTCCAGCGCTTGGACTCTGTCTGAAGCCAGGAAGAGACCAAGTCAAAGTGTTTTTTTTTAACTTTCAGAAGCAGTAAAATTCTCAGAAGCTGGAACTAACTGCAGAAAGGTGTCTGTGGAAAACAAAGGTGGATATTAGATATCTCTCAGCGCCAGAAGAGGAGATAAGGAATTTACTTTTTTGTTGTTTAAACTTTGGAACCTAGATCGGGAAACTGAGCCGCATGAGGTTTGTGAGTTCTGTAATCTTCTTACGAATCCTGGTTGGCAGTCTCTGTACTTTTCGCTGATTTGTGTGTGTTAGGACAACAGTCCTGGATACCCAGGCCTTATTGGCCTGCTAAGATGGTGAGAATGTTATACACGTGTTGTATTATAAACTTTAGTTGGAAAAGTACAAGGAAGCTGTTGTATAGGCATTGCAGGTTTTTGACTTATGAACTTGTGTGAAGCCATTTAGATTGCTATATTTCACCTTTCTCCTGTTTCATTATATCTGTCATCATTGTTTTTATTTGTTGCTGAGACTTGACCAGACAGTAAGAAAAAACATGCCTCAGGTTGTGTGGTGGAATTTTACCTTGAGAGCCAGAGACCAGTTTCAGGTTTTCAGGTGCCGTTCCAACTCTTTTGAAGACATTTATGCCAGAAAGAGTCCAGATAAACTGAGACATAATCTCTCATGTAATCCTGTATGTCATCTCTGCTGTTTAATATCGGTGCCATTATTGCTGGTATTATAAGGCTTTCCAGATATTTCTGGAAAAGAGCGGTGGGAAGCGAAGAACTTACAGACGAGGGTGAGGTATTCCAGACAGGGAACCGCACGAGGCCTTAAGGGTTATGGCTCAGAGAAGAGTTTTCGCAGAGTGATAGATGAACTCTGGTTTGCTCAAGGCTTTAATTTCATTAGCTTTATTTTACAGGATATTAAGTTGTGGAGGTCAAGTGAGGGTCACGTCTGTGTTGTGTCAGGAAAGACGGGAGAGCCTCGTGCTTCCGAGAGCTGTGGAATTCAGTCTTTGGAAGGAGACTCTGCCTCAGTCTTTGGGTTCCTCTGCACCTGTAACTCAGCTGGTGGCTGTGAAGCTGCTCCTGAGTGTGAGAGCCCTGGGGAGACGTAGGAAGCTGATGGTCGGCTCCTATGTGCTTGCAGGCAGCAGTGCAGCTGGCCGTCATTGCATTACATGATGGAGGTGTTTAAGTCATCAGTGCGGCCGCCTCGATTGATGGCACAGCTTTCTACCATTAGACAAAGGCTGTAGCCTTGGCCAGTCTTCGTCATGCCTGTCAAGCCGTAGCTGGTTTGATTAGTCATGGGGTGGTCAGTCAACCAGCCTCTTACTAATTTACATGCTAGCACCTGAGAGCTGGGGGCTCTCCAAAAATCCTGAGAGAGCTTCCTCAGCGTGTTGTTTTTGCAGAAAGCCCCTCTGCGCACATTTTCCCGAAGCCCTTGGCTCCCCCCCCCCCCCCCCCCCCCCCCCCCCGGCGATGTCAGCAGCCCGGCCTCGCCCCTCTCTGGAATGTTCATCTTGTGGGAGCACAGCCTGTTATGGTGCGCTCTCTATTGTCCTGCTGGTGAGTGGGGTTCACAGCCCTTGACCCTACGGTCAGACTCAGGGTTACGATATACTAGTCTCTCCCTGAACTGGTTTGACTCAGCCAGAAAACATAACAACATTTCAACCTATCAGGCATACTTTGTTTTCCAAGGGAGAGGAGTATTTTTGCTCCACTCTCAGCACCTTCTGTAATCAAATTCACAAATGGGTGCAAAATTTTATTTTTTTCCTGGTGTTTCCCCGAAGCTGTTTTGGAGCCTCTGTGGTCTCTCTCACCCAATGTAGAAATTCCTGGTCTGTGACTCAGGGGACACAAGGTGAACTTCAGGCTTAGGGAAAACTTTGAACTTCTATTCACTGTTTCTAGACCTGATCGCAGTATTGTTTCTAAATTGCGCTCCATGATCACAGATGCAGTACCCCTTAATTAATGCCATGGTCATTGCGTTTAATTGTGCGTGATATCCGGGATCCAACAAGGATCCAAAATTCCTAACTTGTTTGAAGCTGAGTCTTCTTTCATCAAAGAGGGTGGCTTGATTGGGCTTTGGCTCTGCTGTCAAATGGATGCATCATCCAGAGCAGTTTTCCTTGGCTGGTGTCAACACGTTTAAGTGGAATATTGTTTTTCCATTATTGCGCCGCTTTCTTTATTCATCTGGAGCGAGCATCTTGACACCAATTGCAAGTAAATAATGATACAAAGTTATGTGGTACTCCAGTAAAATTATTTTTATTAATCACTACTATCTTGTAACCCACTTCTCAAGGGTATCTATAGGTTTTGATTGGATTAAGTAAAGTACTAATTGATGGTAGACCTGCCCACTTTGGAAACTTCCTTTTCCCCACTGGTGGCCTTGGGGTCAGCAGTCTTCCACCTGTGACCCCAGGGACTATGAGGCTTCTCATGGAAATACTGTAGTGAATAATAATGATACTCTGTTGATCCCTATGGGGAAATTCTGTTTATCATTTTGCCCTGTATTGGTCTTCATGCATGTCAGAGTGGAAGGGCAGCTACCTTGTGGCACCCAGGGTGCTGGGGCAGGGGGGGGGGGCGGTTTAGGCTCTTGCTGCAGGAGTCCATGGACATGTGACTATTCTGCTGAAGCCAGGCTTGAACCAGCAACCTTCTGATCATGGGCACAGAGGCATAGCCTGCTGAGCCACACGTCCCCCATCCGCATGTTCTGCTGACATGCCCAATTTGAATACAACGCCCGTTGGTGATTCGTCGCTCTGCTCTGTGTTACAGGAGGGAAATGGGCGGATGGATCGTATGGCTCTCGGTGGGGGCAGCCCTTCTAACGCTGTGCCAAGCCCAAAGAGGTAACCCCAGTGCAGCGAGACTGCCATCGGCCCTGCCATCCCATCCTGCTCTCTGGGGGAAAACACCTTTGTCGTGGTTTCAACTTTAACAGACGAACGTATACAGCACACATTTACAAGCAAAACAAAGCGGAAAGGCCACCCAATCTTCCATTGCCTCACACAGAATAAAGGAGTGACAAGTGCAAAATTATTAAAAGTGACAGACACAAGAGTGCTCAGTCTCGTTAAAAATACCAGCAGTGCAGCAACTGATATTCAGAAAAAGAAGGATACTCAGGAAAATTAAGGGGGGTGGGGGGCAAATGAAAATCACTGACTCATGCCATTACAGTTGAGCACTGCTTTCAGTACAGTACTGACCTAACATATTTTTTTTTAAAAAGGTGTCGCAATCCTATATAATTTACACATTATACATTGTAGGTATAGCATTAAATATCAGCCTAAGAGTGTCGGTGGTATATTATCTATCCATTTAAACAGCATACTTTTCTGGATTGCAAGTGAAAAGCTTCCTTTGATGCTTAACATGGGGACTGGGTAAACTCTGACCCTCTGGGCGATCATTAAAATGGTGGAGATGTGCCAGTTTACCTTCCAGTGACTCTGCTTCCCTCTGCAGTCAATCACTGCATAGCGGCCCAAGCCTCCCGCTGCTCTGAATGCATCCAGGCTGGAAAAGGCTGCACGTACTGCAGTGATGAGGTGAGATTCGGCTGTCACTGCTGCAGCCAGCGGTGCAGCTTCCCCATGACCGATGACGTTCCCCATTGCAGCAAATGTCACCTTCGAGGTTCCTTAGTCAAACCGCAGAATTAGTGTAGTACAGTAATTTTTCACTGGGAATCTTTTCTTCTTAAAGGATTAGTACTGATTATAGTGTGCATTTTAACTTAGACAACTAAACAATGAAAGTATTTATAAATATTCATTCATTTCAGTAATAACGTGTTCTTGTTGGAAAAATCATTACTGAACAAGATTAATTAAAGAGATTACATTTCACAACATGTAGCTTGAAGCCAGTAATATACACCCAAAGTGGTCCATTTATTAGGTATACCTGCTTGTTATGCAAACAGCCGGCTCCTCTAAATCTGATCTAAGTGATTCTGAGTATGGTGTGATTGCTGATGGTTCCTTGAGGTGAATGACATGTTAAAAAACATCTGGGCAGCGACAGTTCTATGGTGTGAAAACTCCTTGCTAATGAACAATATCAGAGGAGAATGGTCAGACCTTAACAAGTAACACCAAGGGCACAAGATAACAGATCAGTGCAACAGCTGCGAGCAGAAATGCTTCTCTGAATGCAGAACTTGTCTACCCTTGTTGCAGTTCTGTAGGCCAAAGCTAGGTGTATGTAATAAATTGGTCTCTGAGTGTATGCCACTACATATTTATGTAACATATAAGAAGTTCTTTCATTAAACTTTTTTTCTTTTTACAGAATTTTTTCTAAGAGCTGTATTTGTTTTTCTGTCTGTCGGATTGCAGTCGTTTGATTTTCCACGCTGTGACCTAAATGAAACCCTGACGTCAAATGGCTGCACTATGATGATAGGGGTCGAGAGCATGATGAAGACAGTCAAGGTAAGTCAGCTAGGGCTCTGAGCACAGCATGTCCTGACAGGGCCGGTCCTAACCCATGCGGCGCCCTTAGGTGAGCATCATCTTATCTTATCTTCTCAGAAGTGAAACTGACTGTCAAGTCAGCGTCCTCTCTGAAGTTGGTGCACAGGGTGGTCACCTGTGTCGCCTTTAGGATTGACTGGCCCTGTGTCCCACTTCCCTTTTGTTTAGCAGATTAAATTGCTCTGTCTGACGTGACTTGGAACGCTTATCTGAAACACACAGCTCTTACCATGTGACCCCCTCACCTCATTTGCTGTGCAGAACACCCAGATCAACGAAAGGCTGGACATTTCACAAGTCGCCCCGCAGCAGATGACCATGCGCCTGGTCCCAGGAGAGGAGAGGGAGCTGTTGGTGAACATCTTTGAGCCTCAGAAGGGTCCTCTGGACCTGTACATTCTCATGGACTTCTCCAACTCCATGAAGGACGATTTGCTGAATCTGAAGAAGATGGGGAACTCCCTGGGTAAGATGCGCAGTTTGGTGCTGCTTTGCAGTGTTCTTATGTAGTGCATTTGATCTTTCAGGAGCATCGCCACATGATGTGTAATGGTGATGTGTAACTGTGATGTGTAATGGTGATGTGTAACTGTGATGTTACTGTGTACATAACAGCGAACCTGGTTGGTGATCTGTCAGACGACTACACCATTGGCTTTGGGAAGTTTGTCGATAAAGTGACTGAGCCGCAGACTAGCATGAGTCCCTCAAAGTAAGAATCTGCATCCCAGGCCGTCCTTTTTCATCGTAGACACTTTTCGGGAATTCTGAATCTGGTTGGTCATTGGGATTGATTTCTAGCTAGAGTCTGCCCTTTTCCCCCAGGTTGAAGCAGCCGTGGCCAGACAGCGACCCACCTTTCTCCTTCCAGAACACGATCCCTCTCACCAACAACATCACCCTGTTCACTGAGAAGCTGAAGAAGGAGCGTATCTCGGGCAACCTGGATGCTCCGGAGGGAGGGTTTGATGCCATTCTCCAAGCAGCTGTGTGCCAGGTAACTCCATGTTAGCAACTTCTCTCCATCAGAAGCCTCCTGTTCTCTTTGTTCTATTGCCGTACTGCTTCCCAGGAGCCTTCCGATTGCTCGGGACTAGATTGTGTTAGCTTCATAGAGTTTCTACTTATCACCTGGACCAAGATTAAACTGGCATTCAAGTAGAGTAATTGGAAAACAGTAGTCAATAAAACATCGAAAAGCTTGTGGGAGTTTTACTTACACAAAAATGTTCTGAGGGCAGTAAGGGAAATGATTGGTTCAGAGAGTTAACCAATCATATTGTAGAGGAGGTGGGTCCAAGCAGCTAAAGGAGGTGGGATCAGTCTTGGTCCTACCTCCTTTAGCTGCTTGGACCCACCTCCTCTACAATATGATTGGTTATCTCTCTGAACCAATCATTTTTCCTTCTGCCCTCAGAACATTTCTGTGTAAGTGAAACTCCCATGAGCCATGGAAAAGCAGAAGAAGAGAAGTCGTCAAGTATGGCTCTTCACAGCATACAGATATTTCAATATTGTTTTATTTCTATGTTTTTAATTTATGGGTTTGGAGAGCACTAATGCCCCTGGGAGAGTGTAGTTACCACACTGGAATTTGCCGCAGATAATCACAGCCATTTGTCCGGCTGCCCTCACCAGGAGCAGATTGGCTGGAGGGAAAACAGCACGCACCTGCTGGTCTTCTCCACTGAGTCTGCGTTCCACTACGAGGCCGACGGCGCCAACGTGCTGGCTGGCATCCTGCCACGCAATGATGAGGCCTGCCACCTGGCCTCTGATGGCTTTTACACCTATGACACACGGCAGGACTACCCCTCCGTACCCACCCTCGTGCGACTGCTAGGCAAACATAACATCATTCCCATTTTCGCCGTCACCAACTACTCTTACTCTTACTATGAGGTAGGTGGGCCTGCAGTCCGGGATGAAAAAACTCAAATTGATTGGCCTGGGCTGGCTAAGTGGGATTTGTGTTTTACCAGCTCATTGTCTTTTTTACCGAGTGAACTGAGATCATTTGGTTCATTTGGGGTCGAGCTGAAGTATTTTAAACTCAACTAATGAGAATCATTGACCGAAGATGAACACAAGCCTTGGATTTAATTAATGTAATATTACAACCATTCCTCATTTAGCAACAACCTCAGTTAGCAATCATTCACAAGTACGACGTTACTAAATATTCATGCACATTTACAACCAAATTTTGTACACCTGATAATGCACACCGGAATGAGAGAGATTTTTCAAGTAGAATAAATGCTGTTAAAAATGTCCACTTCGTGAAGGATAAAAGACATTAAGTATAGAAGGCTGAAGTAAAGTCGTAAGCACAGTCACAGTCACACCTAGGCTACCGGGACTTTCACTTAGCCGCCATTTCGCTTAACGACCTGGAGTTTGGAATGAAACTAGGTCTCTATTATGTGCTCTTTTGCTTATTGCACTTATTATTTTGCCATTCCATATTGCATTATCTTCAATCTATACACATTCTGTTTACTGTTAACTTGTAATCTCATCATTGTTGCAGTCATCATCTGTTCCCCAGCTTTGCCTGCAGTCTTTAGCCCCTTTCCCGTTGATGAATTTATTACTTGCTGTGTGAAGGCCCTGTTTATGCCCTGTTTATGCCCCGTCTATGCCTTGTTTAGACTGTTTCAAAGGCCGGTTCTCTGGTGCTCCATAAATGTGACACTCCTCATTCCGCTGTTAGTTTAGTCATTCTTTTCCCTAATTGATCGCCAGTCTGCTGGTTTGTCATCCACTCCCACTCAGACTTCTCATACATTTCCAGGCTGTGTTTGTAGCTTTTCATAGCTCCTTATATCATCTCCTGGTCCTGTCCAGCCCTCCCCTTCTGTCTCTTAATTCCTCCCTGTCTTAGGAATGCGTGACACAGACCTGATGTTTATTCAGCAATTCGGACATCACAACCATCTCCTGTTTCTTTCCTAATACCCGTTTTTTTTTTTTTACGCATTCCAATGTAATTTTTCTCATTCTGCTTAATTTTTCACATTTTCATTTGTCTCCTGTTGTGACTTAGTGCTTTGCTTAGTTTTTATTTAATTTTTCTGTTTATATCTGTTGGTCACCACACTGTTTTCTGACATAATTTCATCATTTTGCCCCTATCTGTCCGCTCATATTCTAAAGCTGTTGTCCTTCTGATAGACTGAAATTTTTGTTTGGTTTTTAGTGGTGATATCAGCTGTTGGATGAACGCATAGCAACACGGTTTAATATTGCTTTTGTTGTTCTAGATTCGGCTGCCTGTACATTAGGGCATCCCTGTTTTCCTCTCTAATTTAGCTCATCATCAACATAGCATTTTTGATAACGCTGCTACTCTAACAATATGAACTCCAACAGTTCTGTTCTTCCACCTTGTTCTGTTTTTGTAGAAGTTGTACCAATACTTTCCCATCGCTGATATTGGGGAGCTGCAAGAAGATTCTTCCAACATCCTGACTCTCATCGGAAGTGCTTTCACTGTGAGTGTCATGAAGTCCATGAATAAGCATGAATGCCTGGCTGGTGAATACGCTTCCGTAATTTATTTGCGCACTGAAGCAGTTTACCTATGGACACCATCTGCTGAATTTTCGTGCTCGAGTTGGTCCATAGCTGCAGCAGATTTATTTTCTTGAGCCTCTTCTCATTCTTCTCCTCCCCATATCCTGTCCACTAGAACATTCGCTCGAAGATCAGCCTGAGAGCTGAGGACAGACCCAAGGCTGTGGAGACCCAATTCTTATCCACTACTGGTAGTATGAACAAGGATGGTACCTTCACGAACGTCCCGGGAAAAACGGTAGGATGCATTGCCTTACATCAACATGTCAGACAAAAACGTGACATAAACTGTATAAGTAATGAAAAATGTAAGAAAAAGTTCTACATTTTATACTCACTTCATTTCTTTTTTCTTGATTTTCTATATTGATTTTGTCAATAGACTTTGCCAGGTCAGCATATTTGACCTGAGAGGCAGTGAGTTTTTACAAAGGTGCTGCAGAGCTGCCTGGGGTCAAAAGTGTAAATATGCTCCTTCACCAGCGAACCATCACGTGTGTGACACAAGTGCGTGTGTGTGAACCTCAGGGCACGTTCAGGCTTCGGGTGAAAGCCCAAAGCTCAGTGGGGGAGGAGCACGTGTGCCAGCTGCCCGAAGCGGACAGGAAGGGTGCCATGCGGGTGAAACCCACCACCTTCACCCCCAACCTCAGGATTAACACCGAAGTGCTGTGTGCCACCTGCGACTGTGAGAAGGTAAGGAGGAGGGCAGAGGTCAAAGGTCAGGGCTATGAATTTGAGCTGAAACAGATCATAGTGCCTGAGTTTGGTTTCTCATTTCTCTGTTGATGTAGAACCCTCAGGTGAATGCAGCGAAATGCAATAGGAATGGAGATCTGATCTGTGGGATGTGTTATTGCCACGCCGGCTGGTGAGTGCCACTCTCACCATGTGATGCACGACTTACCATGCAGTTAGGAAATAATACCAAGCTCGCCATTCACCTGAAGGATAATGCAGGTGAAACCACAGAAACATCATGTGGTAATATCAACACATTTATTTAATGATTATACAGCTTAGAAGCAAGTTTATTAATTTTCCAGCAGTTCTTCTTGCAAATATTTGAGTAATCAGTGAAGATCTCCAGCTGTACATGCATGAGATTTGACTGGAAGTATGCTAGATGCCAGATCATCCCCTGTGTCGCCCATACAGATGATAACCTTCTCCTGCTTCTCTTTCCAGGCTGGGTGCCTTCTGTAACTGCTCTGCGGCAGTGTCCTCCTTGGATAACAGAAAGTGCACCAATTCCAGCACGGGCGAGGTCTGCTCGGGAAAAGGGGACTGCCAGTGCGGGACCTGCACCTGCCACCACCCCCACCAGTACGAGGGCCCCTACTGTCAATTTGACAAGTCCCAGTGCCAGCGGTTTGGGGGGTTCCTGTGCAACGGTGAGCAGGGGGAAAGGGCAGTTAAGGTTTCACTTTTAAGATATCGTTTGGAATTGGGGTTTTTCTGAAGAGCGAGTGTGTTTTCTGTCTTATGGCGTTTTTCCACTGGCATTCATAAATCAAGCCGTACCTGACCCATACCATGGAGAGACACTAGTTACAGCGCAGTTACAGCACAGTCACAGCTCGCTTTGATTTTCCACTGCAGAATGGTCGGCTCGGTAAAGGTGTTGCCAGGTTTGGAGACTGACAGTGACATAAAACTGAAGAGACGCTTATTTACTGTTCACACGGTGTACATCATGATTTACTATGTGCCAGAATCCGCTAGCACGTCTCTGAGAATTGCCGTCTTATGTTACCATCAAACGCTGGTGGAATTAGCATTCCCTTGTATAAATCTGCATTACAAATTCATTCCGTTCAGCTGTTCTATACAGAACCAGTTTAGTATAAAGAGTCACAGAGTACTCAACTGGTTGGTTGAAACAAAATCTTGGTCTGGATTTTTGCTGTCTGGACCTGAACTATCCACCTCTAGTTATTAGTATTTTTTACGTAGGAGGTTGGAAACTTTCAAGTTCCAAGTTATCAGGAATACATCAATACATCAAGATGTGTGATACTACTAACAGTGAATAATATATAGAATATGCCCTTTTCTCCTTCAGAAAATGCGTGCAAATCGACGCAGATCTCTGTGCATTTTGAGCAGTCAGGTGGAGGTAGCACAACCAGCTTGGTTTAGTGGGTGTAGGTACGGTTTGGGGCTCACAGGATTTACAATGGAAAACTGTCAGTTCGCGGTACGGCTCGGGTCTTGGTGGCAGTGGAAGAGCTCCATTAGACTGAGGTGAGACCAAGGCCACCCAAAACCTCAGTTTGCACACCCAAATGAAATTTGAAAATGGTCGTCCCTTTTTTCTTCAAATTCAAAGTGGCAACCCTAAATACAATGTGACACTGGTCATAGGCTTGGTCTTTAAGAAATGACAGTAATGGTTTTTATAGACTCACATTAATTTATTATGGTTCAGTTTTTGCAAACCTTGATTTCATCATGGCCCACCCAGCGTCAACTTTCTGGCTAACCCACTGGACTTAGAGATGCCCTAAATTAGATATAGTGAATAAAACCTTGAATCAGGGAGGGCATGTAACTGTATACATATCAGCCCCCAAGAACTGTTGGGGGTCAGAGCTTTGTGGTTATATTTTCTAGATGGTTGTCTGTTCACCAGTGGAGTGTACTTTAAGTTTCTTTTTATGAGCTTTTTGCTGATGTCACGCAGGCTGTTGACACCGTCAGTGTGTGTGTTCTTGTCTATGTTCGTGTCTGTGTCCCTGTACAGATCGCGGGCGCTGCTATATGGGCAGCTGTGCTTGTGAGGAAGGCTGGGAAGGAGCTGCCTGTGAGTGTCCCAAGAGTAACGACACCTGTGTGGACAACGAAGGGGTGAGAGCTGCCTGCCAGCCGGCCTCCTGTCAGCGTCTAAGACTCTCAGTCTTATCTTCTTACCCTGCTGCTTATCAGCTAAAATGTTCATAGCAGAATTATATCAACGTGACAGAAATTCCATGGCTTTTGGTTCTTGAAACTTACGTCTCACTTTCCCTCGATCCACCATAGGGGATCTGCAGTGGACGTGGTTACTGTAAGTGTGGACGATGTCACTGTGAAAGTTCCCGGACTGATCTTGGCCCGACCTGCGAAATCGGTTTCCAGGTGATCAAAAACAGTGCGCAGATGGTGTGCTCATTGTCTGTGTATGTGTGCAAGTGTGTTTTGTGTATATTACATTGTGGGGACTAGATGTCCCCACAGTTGTGATAAAAACCTGTTACTTTGATGTCATTTGGACCATTTTTTCGGTCCCTGCAAAGGGAAAGTCAATTTAATGAAAATATGTGACTGCAATCAAAAAACTAAAAAGATTAAAGGCTAAAAGATGAAAGATTAGGCTTTTCCCCATAGAAATAACATAACTAAAGCAGCACATGCGGGGCTTCCATGTGAAATGTGTGAAATAAGATATAAGATAAGAGCCTTTATTGTTACTGCATACAGAGCAGTGAAATGTCATTTAGCAAAATGTCATTCATCCAGCTGTACAGCTTATACAGTCAGGGGCCGATTAATCTGGGGGTCCTAGGCTGACATCAGCTTGAATACTCCACTGCTGTCGATTTAACTAACCATTCCACTGCCACTGCAAGAGCAGCATATCCCCCCCGCCTCCATTTACGGTGTCCCTGAATTTAGAAACACATGAAGGCACATATACAAACACACCATATGCAAAGTATGACACTATATGGGACAGTCCCGACATTTGTGGGGGAAAAGCTGTCTTTTTGGCCTTGCTGTGCTGACAGGGATAGACCAGTGGTGGAATTGGCCCTTTCTGAGCGATTCTCCTTCTCGCCTTATTGACACTCCCTCCAGGCCCAGCTGGGAATGTGCGAGGACAAGCGGAGCTGTGTTCAGTGCCAGGCGTGGAAGACTGGGGAGCGGAAGGGGGATAAGTGTGACGGCTGTCCCTTTAAGATCACCATGGTGGACAAGCTCCCCGACAGTCAGTCATTTCACCTTTAACTTACTGCAGAAGTGGCCCATCTTATCCAGGTTTCATTGCAACTCCCTAATTAGATTATTAATTAGAGGACTGATTAGCTGAAGGGTCCTCACACCTGGGTTTGATCACACCTGGGTTTGATCAGCTGACCTAAAGCCCTGCATACACACTGGCCCTTTGTGGATAAGATTGGCCACCTCTGGCTTACCGGATCAGCTCCACACTTTGAGAGCTACAGGTTTACCTGTCAGTCAACTACTGGATTGAGGGTAACACCAGGTAACCGGAGTCAGAAAGTGATCGCTTTTAACTTTGAATAAAGATTGCAAAATAAATAAATAAATAGATAACAACCCACCTGGTGGCCCTCAAGGACTGGAGCAGCCCGTTCTTCCTCGTCATCAGATCCATAATCTGCTTGTTATTTCTGAGCTCCTCTCCACAAATCAGTGGGTCTCCATGTCATGTGTCCACAGGCAAAGATGCCATCGAGACGTGCAGCTTCCGAGACGAGGACGACGACTGCACTTTCCACTACTCTGTGCTGTTCTCCAGCAACCCCGGCGAGAAGGATGAAGTCCAGGTGCTCAAGAAGAAGGGTGAGCTGCTGTCACTGTTTGAACATTATATTAAATTAAATTAAAATTAATGTGTGTCTTTATTTGCATGCGTGTAGCATTGATCAGCAGGCCGCTGTCTCACACCCAACAGGGGATCTCCGGTTAAGCGAGTTATTGGGCATTAGCCGGTTAAGAAGGATTCTGTGCTCAGCTGTTGTCATGGTGAATCGGATAATCCATGTCAGGGAGGACATTTTGAGCTACTTTAGGGTTTACAAACTAGTTTAAAATTGAAAGGCTCCTATGCTTGGACAGTTATTTTTGTGTTTTGGTTTCTTTCCTTGAATTACTCATCCAGCTCTTTCACATTAGAATTAGTGACACGTCCATGATTATAGGAGACTGACCAATCAGCACACAGGAAGAACTCAGTGCTGACGTGAAATCCAGGTCCTTTTAATTGAAATGGTAGTTTACAAACCTGTCCTAACTCAAAGTGTCCTCCCTGACATGGATTGTCTGGTCGCCCTAATAGTGAAGGATCTTGCCCTGTGTGTGTCTTGCAGAATGTCCACCTGGGGCTTTTCTCTGGCTGATCCCCCTGATCATGTTCCTGATGCTGCTACTGGGCCTGCTGCTGCTCTGCTGCTGGAAGCACTGCAGATGCTGCAGGGTATCTCCTCACCGCCACCACTCCCCCCCACCACGCCTGCTGTCCCACGCAGAGGTGGAAAGTCCGGGTTCAGAAAGTACAAATCCAGACCAAGATTTTGTCTCAATCAATTAAGTACTCTGTGAATGTAACACTTCATACTCAACTGTTTGTTTGGATTTGGTCTGGATTTGTTCTTTCTGAACCTGAACATTCCACCTACTGTACCACATACCACCAGGTCCAGGATTCAAGGGCTCCACCTACCACATGCTCATAGTCACACCCTCATCTTGTGATCCACTCCACACTCCATCACATAGACATCAACATTCCTCGTTTGGCCTGTGGAGCGGGAGGCTTTCCCCAATTCTGCCTGCCTGCGATTTTGTAAGAATGGAATTATCTGGAATGCTAATGAGATTTCTTTTTTGTCCATCTCTTAGGAATGCCTTGCTCTGTTGCCATGCTGTGCAAGAGGTATGTTTGTTGGATATTCCCTGTATTCAGATAATTTTCATTAAACAATGGTTGATGAGTGAATAACAAAGGCAGTGGGTGTGAGTGTCTCTTTGTGAGCACCTAGGTTGATGATGTAGAATAGGCCTGGATGTGTAATGGTGTACTGCATCCACAGGCCGTGTGGTGGGCTTTAAGGAAGATCAATATATGCTACGGCAGTCTACACTGGCTTCTGACCACCTTGATACGCCGCTCTTGCGCACCGGCCCGCCCAAAAGCACCGATGTGGTCCGCTGGAAGATCACGGACAATGTGCACCGGGGAGCCAGCCACCCCCAGGCCCAGGTGGTACCCAGCCCGAAGGAGACCAGTGAGTTCCCACAGTGCTTTATTCTGATACGCGTTATCTTTAACTGCTTTTACCCAAAGCAGCTTAGCTCTAGTAGCATTGCAAAGCACATTGAGAGGTGCATTCTGGGTGGGCTTATTGCCGAGCAACAAAACATCTGACTGAAACTCACCGTAGCTGCTTTCGGCATGTCGACAACAGGTGGCAAGAAAACATCAAACCTCAAGTTCTTGTGGCCACTTTGATTTTGTGCTTCTAGGCTACTCCCCACATCAACCATGTGGAAAACTATACATAGGAACTTATAGACCAGTCATAATACCTTGATTAAAATGCACCTACTTAGGTCAGTTGACCTCACTGCCTTTAGTTAGTGTTTTGAAGCAGCTTGGTCTTTACTGCTAAACTATTAAGTGGTGAAAATATAAGATAGTCAATAACTAATAAACAAGGACTGGGTTAAAAATAAACTATTCAAGTAAAATATACAGAATGCCTATCAACAACAATAATTTTCTTGACGTGGCTGGTTTCTGCTCTTTTTTCCCTTTGTTGCTGGTGTCCCCCTCCAGTCCAGTACCCCATCTCCCTGCGGCTTAACCGCCTGTTCACCGACAGCCTGTCCCACCCTGATGCTCGGGACACAGAGGTGCTGTGCAAGGATGTGGAGGACAATGTGAGTGCAGTGACTTTAACTAGTGGGGGTTTATCTATCTGCCATGTGCGTCTGCTGTTAGCCTGAACCGTCCAGAAGCAGCTCGTATGAAAGGCGTTGCTCATTGGCTGTCACCTGGTCATGTGATATCTCACTCTCACTGTCCTCTCACAGCTCAATGAAGTCTACAAGCAGATCCCTGGAGCGCAGATGGTGAAGAAGACTATTTTTAGGTGAGGCAGTGGGGACAACATGGCCATATAGCGACATGCAATAATAGCTCACAGGGTTACACCCTAGTGGCAGAAACTGGGAAGACCTGTGTTTTGGGTAATTATGTGCAGCTCAGTAGAGGAAACTTTATGATCATGTTGCAGAACAGAGATATGGACGTTATAAGTTTTTTTTTTTTTTTTTATCAAAACAAACAGCATCGGTCTCTGTTTTGCTTGTTTCTGATATTTAATATTTTCTTTTTCAGGATGCAACCAAATGCTGGTAAAAGGTAATAATCGCAGTGGTTAAAAATGAAATAAATTGAATAATAATAACAGAAGCATATATAGAGATATGTTCTTCACCCACAGGCAGAATCACACAGTGGTGGACACAGTTCTGCCTGCCCCCCGGGCCGCCTACAACGACATCGTCAACCTGACGGAGAAGTCGGTCCAGGCCGGCACCTTTAGTGACCTCAAGGTGGTGCCTGGCTACTACACGGTGGCTACAGACAGAGGTCAGAACTACAGGAGCATCGATAAATTTGAATGCATATATATATATATTTTTTTTCATTTATCTAAAGCGGTTTATAGTAGAGGGAAGAATTATGTGTGTTTCCTAGGATTTGAACCCACAGCCTATGCATTGTTAACACAATACTCAACTTGTTAAGCTGCAGGATCACACACAAGGACGGGTTATAACTGAGAATGAATATATGGAGTCGATGTGCATGTACACAAGCCTTTCAGCACGTTAGCATGAATCTTCCTGTAATTGGCCAGAGGCAAAAGGGGCAGTGGAGATGCAGGAGGGGGTGGAGTCTGTGGACGTGCGCGTGCCCCTCTTCATAAAGGACGAGGACGATGACAAGAAGCAGCTGCGCGTGGAGGCCCTGGATGTGCCCATTGGCATCGCTGAGATTGGCCGTCGTTTCGTCAACATCACTGTCATCAAGGAGCATGGTGAGGATCGGCTGACTTCACTGACCTTTGACCCCTAGCCTTGTAGCCTGTAATGCTCAACAGAATATGACAACTTTTTAGTATCTCATAATAATAAACATTTGTCTTCTATAGCTATTTAAAGTCAACTAAGCCACACTAATTATTCCTCATAGTGAAACTTCATTATCTGTTCCTTCACTGTGAGCTGTTTGCATATTATGGGTTTTATCACAGTTTTATCACTGTTCTGTGTCTACATCCCCCAGCCAAGAGCGTCCTGACTTTCCTCCAACCATCCTACTCCTACAGTCGACAGGAAAAGGTTGCCAACATCCCCGTTAACCGTGAAATCTATGAGGATGGACAAACCCAAGTCACCTACCGCACCCGTGACCTCACTGCCAAGGACAAGAAGGTGAGGAATGTGCACACACTCACTCACTCACACACACACTTATATACTAACCCTACTCACCCCGTTTCCCCTTGTGCTGATTTTAATTCACTTTCATTGCATCACATTAAATAAGTTTCAAACATGATTCACGTAACACATAGAATCAAACTGCTTTAGTCTGTCTCCTCATCTGTCTCCTCTTCCTTGTTGTGCCTACAGGATTATATTTCCATGGAAGGGGACCTGACCTTTTTGCCTGGGGAAGTTCAAAAGATGATTCCGGTGAAGCTCCTGGAATGGAGCGAGGATGACTCCCTCTTGGGTGAAAAGCAGGTCAAGCAGTTTGTCATGGATCTCACCAATCCACGCCAAGGGGCTAAGTTGGGCAGATACCCCCGCACCACCGTCACCATTATGGATAGCTCAGGTAAAACACCAGCCAGCCAACACTACGAACATTATCATCCAAAGAAAGGCACTCATTTCACTGATGTTCACCTCTTTTAGAGTATAGGTTGTCACGAGGACCAGTCATTTGTCTAATAATACTCCCTTTGTGCCACACGCAGAGCCAAGTGTCGTGGCGTTCAAGAAGAGCACTCAGACGTTCAACATCGCCGATGCGGAGTACTCTGTTCCTGTGCAGCGCACCACCAACCTGGACACCCCGGCCACGGTGCACTGGCGCACGCGCAAAGCCTCACGCTTCAATCTGCAAGGTGCCCTCAACTTCGCCCCCGGTGAATCACAGAAGAACGTGGTGATCAAGCCCCGGGCGCATCCTGGCCCCGTCAAGGCCGAGACCTTCCAACTGGAGCTGTATGACCCCAGCAGCAACACTATCCTGGGGGACAAGAAGACGACCCTCGTCAACGTCTCAGACTCCGGTAAGTCCTCATGATAGTACGCAGGTTTTCATGAAATTAAAGAATTATATTTAGAGTATTTTAGACGAACCAGGAGCAAGGTGCACATTTGTTATGGAGCAAGACCATTATGTTTAATTTCATAAGTACTGCAGACTGTGGAAGCTTCACATGAGAACTTAACAAGAACCATGTTTGGTCCCTAATGCACAGGGGATGGACCAGAGCTTATGGAAATATTCCCGCAGACAGCACAGTCTCCCGGGGGACGGCTGGTCCCTCCTGGTGACATTAAAGCCGCTGCCACTGGTCCCAGAACCATCCGCCTCAACTGGGCTGCCCTACCTGGCAATCCCTTTGGGTACAAGGTGAGGCAGCTGCAGCCAGTATCCCTGAGAGAGGCACTCAGCTGGTCCAATTCTTCTGTAAGTGCTGAGTTTACAACGCATGGCTATCTGTGTTCTCAGGTGAAGTACTGGATTCAGGGCGACCCAGAGGCTGACGCCCAGGTCATCGACTGTAAGAAGACACAAGCAGAGCTGACTAACCTGTACCCATATTGCGACTATGAGATGCGGGTGTGTGGTTACAACAGCATGGGCAACGGACAGTACAGCAGCGTGGTGCAGTGTCAGACGCAGGAGGACGGTAAGCTGACCGCCCCCTTTAAGGAGCTCCCCTCAGCTTGCCAGAACCCTCTGAGACGTTCTCTCCCCACCAGTGCCCGGTGAGCCTGGCAGGCTCGCGTTTAACGTCATCAGCCCCACGGTCACTCAGCTGAGCTGGGCAGAGCCGGCCGAGACCAACGGCATTATCACCGCTTACGAGGTCACCTACACGCCCATCGACGAGAACAACAGTAAGCAGCCTTCTCTGCATACATTGCTCACCGCAGAAAACTCCTCATATTGTCTCTGGACTTTATATTTGTTGTATACCTCCTTATACAGGCTTGCTTTACTGTGTGTGCATGCTATATACCAACTCCATCTCCATGTGAATTTATTTATGTGTCTTACTCTACACAGATACTCACATTGTGTGTTTATTTATACTCTTAGGTGTGTTATACTCTACACAGATACTCACCCTGTGTGTTTATTTATACTCATAGGTGTGTTATACTCTATACAGATACTCACCCTGTGTGTTTGTTTATACTCATAGGTGTGTTATACTCTACACGGATACTCACCCTGTGTGTTTATTTATACCCATAGGTGTGTTATACTCTACACGGATACCCACCCTGTGTGTTTATTTGTAGGTGTCTTATACTCTACACAGATACTCACTCTGTTTGTGTTTATGTAAGCATTGTGTACACTACACAGATACTCCTCAAACCCCAGAGAAACCGTGCCCTTTGTTTGAAGTAAATTCCCTGTGACAGTGGATTCTTGACGTACGCTGCCCCGCAGAGCCCATGGGCCCCACCAAGAAGGTGAAAATCGACAACCCCAGGAAGCGAATGCTCCTGATTGAGAACCTCCAGCCCTCCCAGACCTACTGCTACAACGTGCGTGCGTGCAACAACGTCGGCTGGGGCCCCCACAGGGATGCCACCATCAACCTGGCCACCCAGCCAAACAGACCCATGTCCAGTAAGGGCACCGTGATGCGTGATCGGGGGAGGGGGTGGTGGCCGGGGTCCCGAGACCAGAGTGAGACAAACTGCATAAGATATACTCTATGTATACATGTAAAATAGTTAATGTCTCACATTTTGGTTTTGTTCAGTACTGTGCAAAAGGAAATTTTGCTTAAAGTGGGTTATTTTAGTAGTAAGTGTATATTTCAGGGGGAAAACATGTTTTAATATTGGAGAAAAAAAAGTTTCTCATGTTCTCTAAAATGTTCTTGACATCGTGTTGAATGGTTAGAAGAATTCCAGCCATTCTGCTTAATTGGTATGTCACCAATAGCTCATTTAATTGATTTAATTAACTGAATTAGTGAAATAACATTGTGAGGTACTGATTAACCAGACAAGACGCACTAATGGGTGAATTCAACAAACACGTGGATATACATATTGGATGGTGACTGGAGGTACTGTGGAGACTTCAGGAGAGGGTTTGAAATGGTTAACCTGGCGCACTTCAGCAGATATGAAGTGATTGCTCTGCACCAGCACAAACATCTCCTCTGGCAGCCTGAGATTTTAGTACAGTACCGTGTAGGATGTTTCATTCTCCCTCTGCGTAACCCCCAGCCTGTCCCCCTGCCTTATCTCCACAGTCCCCATCATCCCTGACATCCCCATCGTCGACGCAGAGGCAGGCGAGGGCTACGACAGCTACTTGATGTACAGCAGCGACGTGCTGCGGTCCCCGGGGGGCAGGTCCAGCGCCTCCGACGAAGGTTGGTGTGGAACCGCAGCCCGCAGCCCACTGCATTGCAGATGGGTCATGACGCTGAACGCCTCTCTACACGTTTGTCTGCAGGGGAATTCTCACAATCACAGAGAAGACAAGTAGCATGAGCACAAATATATAATATGAATGAGTTATTGACTGAAAAATGAAAAATTGTAATTGAAATAAGCTACTTTTGGAAAGCGATAACTGATATAAAAAATCATTTCCCACTGCTGTGAGTTTGTGAGTTACAAAATGATACAAAAAAAAGATTTATTTATCTTACATCATTGATTCCTGTCTGTTCCCAGCCTACATCCACACCCAGTGTGTATTATAGCTTGATATTATTAGCGACTTTGTTGTAGCTTGGATGGGATGCTGGACACATTGAATGGTTTTTTTTATTATTCAATATCAGCCCTCTTACTGAAGCTTCCGCCACAGATGTTGTTTCACTTTTCAACTGAACTTCCTTGGGAAATGAATGGTCATGGTCTGCTGAGCAAGGAGTTGCTGTCAACCTTGAAACGCTGCCATATGCTACTGCAAAGGGAGAAGCTGCTCTAGGAGGAATCTGTCAGGGTGTCTGAAATCGCCCTGCTCTGGGCCCCAATCGTATTCCGCTTCACTTGGGTGGGTTAAGAAAGGTGCCTGTCGCAGCCTTTGCTTTGACACCCCTGCCGATTGTTTAATCGCTGTGTTCACACCTGAACGCCGGTCAGCCGTGTGCAGGGACGCTCCACGCGAGACCGATTAAGGCCGAGTCACAGCGCTCTGTTCAGAGACAGCTGCAGAGGTGCCTGGAGTACCTGAAATCTCTCACATCCCTTAATTGTCCTGAATACGGCTCTGAAAGCCTGCCCCCTGCATGCTGTTGATTTGGATGTGGGTCGACCGGTTCTGCAATGTGTTCTGAGGTGTCCCCCCCTCCGCTCCTGAGCCCAAACTGCCCGGCTCTTCCTGCCTGCCCCCTGCATGCTCCATCACTCTCCACCCCACCCCCCCCCACCCCCCAACACAAGGCTTGCGTTGGAAGCATGTCCAACTGGTCGGTGAGGACCTGGACCTGCGAAAGGTGTCCTGGAGACTGCCGGCAGATATCATACCCAGACGAGTCAGCTCCGACACAGAGGCCAACGATGAACCGCCGCGTCTTGGTCGTGCCCAGACCCTGCTGCAAGGTGAAGACCGACCCAGTTGACGCATGCGGGCTGCCCCCCTCCTCCCCCCCGCCACCTTGGAGCACGTCACCCCACCCGCTTTCACAGCAGCCTGCCTGGTTAGCGACGTAGCGGTCAGCCCTTTCCCCTTCCTGGCCTGCCAGCCCAGGGGAGACGCCTGCCGACATCAACTGCTCGGCCCAGTTGATGATCAGGGAGTCGGCTAGACGGCTGCGCCTCTCCCCTTCTCTCCCTCTCCGCCGGAGTCCGTCTGGGAGGAGGAAGCTTCTGGTTTTCCGCTATTGCACTCGAGCGCAGGGGGTAGCGGTGCTGCGGCGGCAGAGGCGTGGACCGGCAATGGAGTCCATGGGATGTTCGGTCCCCCTCCGTGTTTTCAGGCTCATCGTGGAGAACCTGTTTCCTGTTGGTTTTCTCCTTCTCAGATTCAACCATGACCGGCAAGTGGGAGCAGAGCCTGTTATACCCGGGAGGGCCGGGATCCGCCACGAGGAACTTGTCCACCTCGTCCTCCATCTATTCGCCTCTCTCCCCCCATGGGATGGGTGGGGCAACCATGCAGACCACCACCACTTATCTGTCTGGCGCAGGTGTGTAGGCCCGGAACAGTTCCTCCTTCTCACGCAGTTATAACATGACTTGAGATACAAACATGCTTCTCCGCACCCGTATCACATTCCCGGCTACTGGACCATCAGATCAAGGCCTTTTGTTATTCCTGCACTGAGCAAGAAAGCCATTTCCAGATACTGTTTGTTGCTAATACAGACTTCTGCCATGTTATGCTCTGTGAGACATTGTTAGTTTCCAGTGTTTGCTTTTTAAGTGATTAATATACAGTTTGTTGCCTTATACATTCTGTTTTTCCAGTTGTAACAGCTGGTATATATTGAAAACACACACTGGTATAATTTTGGGGATTAAATTGATTATCTCACAAAATCTTGGGTAATATTTGAAATATAGATGACAGAATTATCAAAATTGAAACCTTTGAATGAATGTGTTGCTGGAATGATACGCCTTGAACCTGGGGTCATTTTATACGCCGACATTGCCTTGTGTGCCCATTCAAATCCTAGACATTCCAAGCTTTTGGAAATATATTGTAGAAATGAAGCTTGCCGCATAATTCCACAAATTAATCATGCAGATTTCAGCCGGGACTATTTTTAGATTCCCAGGGGATTCCTGGGCATCCGGCTGGTCCCGCCTCCCTCATCCTGCAGCAGCTGATCCAGCTTCACCTCTGTCAACTAGGGCTCGCTTACCACCCTCTACTCTCTGCCATTCTCTCGCCCTCCACCCCTCAGGGAACTCCCTCTCACGCAGGCAGCAGATGATGACCACCGGAGGGGTTCGCACCGAGGAAGTGGTCCTGAGGAAGCGCTCGGAGAGGGGTTACTACGACAGCGACGGCGTGAGGGATTCCATCGTCATGGTGGACGTACCTGGCGGCTTCTCTGGGAGCATAGGTACCATCAGCGTGGCTTCACTGCCGGGGGCGACTGACATCCAAGCTCGACCACCTCACTCTTCCCTTCAGGAAGGACAGTCTCAGTCACATTCAGTAAGCCTTGCGAGTTAGTGTGGGCCAGTATTAAAATGCTCCACACTGACCGCAGCCCGTAAGCCCCCATGGCTGATGTCCTCTGCATTCACTCATCTATGGTGAAGTTCCACAGAAAGGGCCTTAACACTCAGCATAATCAGCGGTTACACTTTACTTAAGCCCATATTTTTAGTAATTCATAAATACATTCGTAACAAATAATAATGCATTCATAAAGCATTATAAGCATGACTATATGAATATTTATAAAAGGCATAAAGTATTATAGCCATGTTTATTATGCATTATGACTGCCTTATGAAGCTCTCATCTATAATGCACAATAGATACCATTATAATGCAGTATAATGGTCAGTATAAGCATTAAGGATTTATACTGCATTATGAAGGTATCTGAAGTGCACTATAGACGAAAGCTTCATAAAACATTCATAATGCATAATAAACATGGCTATAAGGTGTTACACCTTTTGATAAATATTTACAGCCACGTTTATAATGCTTTATGAATGCATTATTATTTGTTATGAATGCGTTTCTAAATTACTAAAAACATGGCCTTAAGTAAAGTGTAACCGAAGAAGCTTGTATATTAACTTTATTTCAGAAGTTAAGGATCCCCTTAAACTTGTGTCTGCTGACCAATCACTGACGAGTCAGTGCTTCCCTGACGTTCCTCTGACCCCTTAATCGCACAGCGTGGTGGTATAATCCAGCTGTAAACACCGTGGGGGGGGTTTGCCATGGACCGTGTGCAGGATGCTCCCCGACGCTGTGTGAATGCGTGCATGGCCCGCCAGTCGCGCCTCGCAAGGCTGCCAGTGCTCGCTGCCGCCCTCTGACACCCCCAGCCCCCCCCCTCGCTCGCCTCCACCTCCTTGCATCCGCTCTCACAGCCGCTTCGGCCCCCCCCGTTCCCCTGCTTGTTGTATTTAAGGCCCGCCCCCGTGATGCTTCCCCCCCCTGCCCCCCCCCCTCTGCTCTCTCAGGTGGCTCTGGCTACAGCAGGACGCTGGTGAACTACAGCACCGGTCCCGGCCTCAGGGCCCGCACGCAGTCTGAAGATGTCGCTGACGCGTTGCAGAACCTGGACAGGGTGCTCCAGGGTGAGTGCACACAGCCCAGCCTGACCCTGCCCCGCCCCCTCTGAGAAGATACGCTACACGGCCTCCTGTTTCACTAAAAGACTCACGGGAACCTCATAAATATGGCGTTTTTTTTTTTTCCCTTAGCGAGGTAAATGCTTGAATACAATGGTAGTCTTTATACTGTAGTAGGACATTTATCTTCGTACACGTGGAGTCTCTGGGAGGTCTTCCTGATCTATCTTCTATTCAGATTGGAGGCACTGAGGGTCATGGCTGGGCTCTGTGTTGCTGAGTTATGTTTGCAATCCAGAGTGTGAATGTGTGCCGCTGTCTGGTTACTACCACTGTTTTCTGCGTGTGTCTGTGTGTGTGTGTCTCAATCCCCCCCCCCCCCCCCCACGTGCATGCTGTGCAGTCCTGTCTCCCGTGCATGTGAGCTTGCATAGCACGCCTCAGCACACGCGCCTCCGTGTGGCAGCACCCGTGTCCCGTCTTGCCCCCCTCCCTACCCCCGTCCCTCCCTCGCCTTTTCCCTCGCCCTCTCACCCTGTCCACGTTCTGCTGCCACAGACCCCAGGCTCACGCCGGGCACTCCCGACACGCCAACGCGCCTGGTATTCTCGGCGCTGGGGCCCACCGCCCTGAAGGTCAGCTGGCAGGAGCCTCACTGTGAGAAGCCGGTGCTGGGGTATTGCGTGCAGTACCAGCTGCTCAACGGAGGTTAGTACCAGGGTGGGGGGACGGGGGGGCTGTTTCACCACACTCTTTCTGTTTTCTGGAACATATCCCTAGTTATTTGGGAAATGGGTGGTCTTGTTCATAAACTAAACTATGCCATAAATACATATATACATGAATTTAAGTCACCTCTGCTGCCCCAACTGGCCTTTAAAATGCCTGAATATTAATGTAGCTGCCTTTTCATAAACACATCCTCCTATGATCAACAAAACCAGCTGTTTATTTACTAAGAGCTGTCTGTCATTTGTCATGTTAGCTGTAAAGTATTATTTTCCTGTGTTTTTTTCCCCGACCTGCTATTCAAAATGGATGTACAAAATTGTGAAACAAGGATGGTGGTATGTTCTTTTGTATTTAGAAAAGTGAATCTGGAATAAAGAATCTGGAATCCAGAATCGTGGCTGCAGTGGAACTGTGCTAATTGTTGCTTGCGGCTGTGTTTGACCTCCTGTAGGCGAGGTTAAGCGCCTGGATGTTCCTGGGTCCATGGAGAATTCTGTGATGGTACAGGACCTTCTGCCCAATCAGTCCTACATTTTCAAGGTGAAGGCAAAGAGCCAGGAGGGCTGGGGACCCGAGAGAGAGGGAGTCATCACCATAGAGTCTGCTGTTGATCCTCGAAGCCCCCTCAGCCCTATGCCAGGTGACCCCCCCCCCCCATTCCACTGATTTTGTCTCTAACATGTTCAACCCATGCATTTGGGTCAGAATCTTCACCACGTTTCCTTGGATGGTTTTACTGTTTTTAGGGCCCCAGTTAAAAATTCCCTTTGTGGCCCCTCAAACCCCCATGCTCTCAGATGTTTCAAAAACTAAGTGAATAGCTAGAGTCAGAAGATTGTGGCTGGGCCGGCTAGTTAGCAGAACACGCTGCATCAGCATCTCCTACGTAAGGAGTGTGTTTATTTAATATTTAATGTAGTGACTGCTTATGGACAACAGGGGGACGCCAAAACAAAAACATGGACTGTCTTGGGGTCACTTAGGAACGGGGTTGGGAAACACTGGTTTAGATTATCTCTGAAGCCACGCCTCTAGTAACCTAACCTGCCCTCCCCCCACCAGGATCCCCTTTCACTCTCAGCACCCCCAGTGCCCCTGGTCCTCTGGTTTTCACGGCCCTGAGCCCTGATGCCCTCCGGCTGAGCTGGGACAAACCCCGAAAGCCCAATGGGGACATCCTGGGTTATGTGGTCACCTGCGAACAGCTGCATGGAGGAGGTGGGTCTAGAGCACAGTCTATGTCTTTTTACTTAGGTGTATGGACTGTGCTGTACCTTTAATGATGCAGAGGGATAGATTCTGGAGGAGACACTGCTGTTTGATGAGAACATTCTCTCCCTGTCTCTGTCTCTCCCTCTCATTCAACTCAGGTGACATGCGGACCTTCCAGGTGAGCGGCGACAATGCAGAGACCAGTCTGACGGTGTCAAACCTGACTGAGAATGTGCCCTACAAGTTCAAGGTCCAGGCTAGGACCACGCTGGGCTTTGGCCCCGAGAGGGAGGGCATCATCACTATCGAGTCACAGGACGGAGGTATATTGCCAAAAGATTCTCACCCTCACCATAGCTGCATATTTTGGTTCAGGCTTGTTTGACAGTCGGTGGAGCTTCGCCTGAGACCTAGAGAATAATAAGCTTGTTTACTGAATTGTTTCTGCTTGCTTTGGTTCAGACTGATGCTCACGCTGGGACTTTCATTCTCCTGCTGTTTCAGGTAACGCGTCTCAGTACAGCAGCCAGGCGATGACGCGCCGAGAAGTCTTCAACCTTCCGGGGGAGATAAGCACTCGCACTAACGTGACTCACACCACATTCAACGACCCGTACTTCTCAGGTACGTCCGCCGAGAGACGCTCCCATCTGAGAAGCGCGTTAGTTCCCCACATACGCAAACGTAACTCTCGTGCCTCCCTGCCCAGACGGCATGAAGCTCACAACGCAGCACGTGGAGACCGGCGGCATGGTGACCCGGCACATCACCAAGGAGGTGGTCACCAGGACCGTGACGGCGGGCAACAGCATGACCAAGAAGGTGGACAAGTTCTTTGAGGCCTGAGACCTCAGTGAAGAGCAAGTCGTGAATCCCTGAATCTTTTTTTTTTTTTTTTTAAATCTGTTACACGAGACAATGAACTTCTGTATTTGTACCTGCTCTGCTGTTTCTCTTGCAAATCAAACAAATCTTGTTTTTTATCTAACAATTTAAAAAAAACAAAAAAAAACAAAGCCAAGAGCAGTTGCTTGGCAAAGAATTTTAGTTGGCGTCGTAGGCCACGTAAGTGGTCGTCTTTCAGCAGAATGTCTGTCACGGTGGTGTGGGATATGCCGAGCTCATTATAAAACATGGGTCTCTATCGTTGGCATTCTCCTTGTTGGATTATTCATGTGGGAACCTGGGCCAGGTGCAGAGGTGTGCGGAACCTGAAATAGCTTCAAAACACACAGCTGACAGTCAGCTGACTGTTATCCAACTGCATCACAGATCCTGTTTCATACTCAAACTGCACTTAAATCTTTCCCTATCTGTAAACAAAGGGAGTTGTGTACAGAATGGCAAGCCATGCAAAGCCCTTAAAACAAAGAAGCCCTTAATTTCATTTAAATAAGCCAATTTATGTGTATAAATGGCATATGTACTGCTAATGGTATTTCCTTTATTTTTAAAAACAAGTTTACATTAGTGTAAGACTCTCCAAATTTCTCATATAAAGAACATAATGCTTTTAACTGCTGTGTTTGTATATAAAGTATTATATTTCATGTTGAGCAGAGTTTTATGGCTAATGCTTATATGTTTGTTTATGCTCCTCTGGCTGTGTAGATGAGGGGTTCCTGTGCTTTAATGATCATCATCATCATTCATTTGTACTAACAGACGAATCCTTCAGTTGTATCCATGTGCACACGTACATGCGCAGCTGCGTTTGGACTCCTGACATGCGACACTCTCTGCTTAGGCCATGCTTTGGTGCTTAGGTCACGTCGCAAATGTTCTGCTATGGCCTAGGGCTGTATCCCCTCTCCTCTGCAATTTAATGTCTTAAAAATGTCTTCACACATCCACATTTTTTCCCAAGTATTTAAGGGTATATTAAGGGTATATTATGAAACAAACATAAATGGGTAAGTTAAAGTCTTTATCATTCACTTTTCAAACCTCCAAAGTTTAACATGCATGCCAACACTCTACATTTTGGTTTTTATGAAAGAGCTACATAATATATACACATCAACTAGCATCAATATTTTTTTTATCTGTCAAGCATTTCAGATGTATTGCACTTAATAAACATGGCTTTATGCTTACAACATACTTTCTTAATTTGTGTTTGGCGTCTCTAGTTGTAATAACACTAATCTATATTTCAAATCCTTCTGTAAACCTATGTATTGTTAGGGTGAGCAGGTAATCCATGTCAGGGAGGACACTTTGAGCTACTTCGGGCTTTACGAAATACCTTCAAAGGGTCCTATGCTTGGCTAAATATTTCGGTTCTTTTTGTTTGACTGGTTTGTTTCCTTGATTGAAAGACTCATCCCGCCGTTTCACAGTAATGTTAATGACACATGCATGATTATAGGAGCCTGACCAATCAGCACACAGCAAGAACTCAGTACTGAAAAGTGAAAGTGAGTAAAGTGAAATCCAGGCCATGTTAATTAAAATGGTAGTTTACAAATCCTGTCCTAACTGTGTCCTCCCTGGCATGGATTATCTGGTCACCCTATGTAATGTACTAAACATACTTATGCATTTACTTTGCAAATACTCAACTTACACGTATCAAAAAGGGAATAAAGAAAAAGGCAAATGATTTTTATCACTTGATAAATTTATTAATCACACAAAGTGCTTCATTATTGCAAGATCAACAGTGGACAAGTGCTACTGTATCATGACAATTTTTCCTTTTAGACCGACAGAAATTTGCAGTGTGAGCTTATTAGACATTCTAGCAAGCGGGAATAATAGGGTCGAGTGCAGCGATGGCGCAGCTCTGTGCATGCGAAACGCATGCTGCATTTATAGCTAAGGACCACCGGCTAGCAATACAGGTCACATACATCCAGCTATGGAACATTGCCAATGAAGGAGGCTGAGTGCTTAGCCCCACAGACAGGGGCCAGGGCAGAAGCAGTGTCCCCTGGCCCCCGCCGACCTGATAACCAAGCCCTTGGCAACCTCCACGGTGCCAAAGAGCGGGTATAGTTTCTCGGTGAAGGTCTCGTTGTAGGTGTAGATGTGCGAGCGGTTCTCCACATTGTAGAAAGACAGCTGGCCATTGTCGTAGTCGAGATAGACGCCCACCTTACGGGGGATGAGGCTCGAGGGTAGAGGGCTGAATGGCACGGTGAGCGCCTTGAACTCAGTGCCCCTCTCCACGCGCAGGGTCAGGTAGCCCATCTCCGTGTTCAGCGACTTGTAGCCCTTCCTGAGTGCCGACTCCTTGACCACGCCCAGCCGCCAGTCCCTCTCGCCCACCTCCACCTCCCAGTAATGCCGCCCGGATGCAAAGCTCTGTGTGCCCACTGCGCACCACCAGCCGTCAAAGCGCCGGTGGAAGTTGGGCACCTCCTTCCTCTCAAAGCCGCAGCGCATGCGCTTGCCGTCGTGGGAGATCAACAGGTCCGGGTTCGCAGTATCTGGGTCAAGGGTCACCTCCACTGCAGGTAAGATTGTGACGCTACTTAGCAACTTCAAAACCATCACCAACTAGGAAACCAGAAATTTTTTAAATAATAGCTACCTGCTGCTTCAGTGATCCAGTTCCAGACTATGAGGAAAGCAGAGATGTTATAATAAAGTATAACAACATGGGTAATGTATTAAGCACATGGTATCCCTCTATTCATGTTTACATATTCCATAATGGATCCTCCAATGTAGTGAAATCTTCTGCATTAAAAATTAAATAAATGTAATACGAACAAAACCACAACGAATACGAGGTGAACTTATTTACTACTACAGAGTCCTGTAGAGACATTAGCATGATCATGATCAGATATGCATGTGACTTACCATTGTGAGGAATGTACCTGGTAGCATCTGGAAGGATATACCCAAAGAGACCAATGAGTCATGTCACTATTCATAGAGTCTTTACAATTCACATTCCCTACTAACACCATTGTATTATGTTTAGGCAACTCGCTAACACCTCCACCTCCAGCCTGGCTAATCAGACAGGGACACGACACCAGAAAGCATCCAGGTAACCAGAGGGAGGAAACAAAACACTTGCATGCATTGGCAGCGTTGAATATGGACAGATGAACTCAAGACTCACTTAATTTCTGACTCCTTTGTTTCCTGGTGAACCACAGCTGGGGGACAGAATCCTGCAGACAGGAAAGTATGACTGTACTTCAATACAGTTCAGCTTTATTGTCATTCTACAATGACAGAGCACCACAAAGTACAAAGGAAGTACAAAGAAATGGATGTTCAAGGAAATTCTGAAAGAATTGAAGAAGGGACTGATGACATAAAATGTTTCACGCAAGAGTATTATGAAATATTTATGAAGTTTGGGAGACACGTAAGCATTTGCGACCAAAGTACCAACCATAACTTTGGTTTAAAGCAAAGAACTAAATACTAATAATAAATACTGACTGTTTGAGCATTTGCTCAATGGAGGAGGGTAGTAGCACGGCAAACATAGTGCAGGAATGGGAGAGAAGCCCTAGAGTGCAGAGAATTGCCTACGGTGCATAAACAGGTGCTGAGGTGTGTAATTGCAGAGTACAGTGTGTGAGAGTACGGCCCAGTAAAATGAATGGATTTTTCTGAAATAAGGTTAGGATGAGATGCGAGTAAGCCTGGCTGTCATACCTATTTATACCCTGCGTGTGGCTCTGGTGTTTCAGGGACAGAGATGAGGAGAAACCTTTACCTTCTCCAGGTCGTCCGTCAGCAGGGTCCACATGACCAGCTCCATGGCAGAGAGCAGGCTTGGCACGCGCCCCTTCCGCCACTGTGTCTCCAGGTCATCCAGCATCAGCACCACCGGCTCCCCCGGCCACACGCTACGCTGGACGGGGCGGGAGTAGAGATGCCTCTGAGTGCACAGTCACCAGACGGAGAAATGGGATCCCGCAGGTTGGGCAGGACGGCCCCCCAGGGACGAGCTGCCAACAGCGCAGTCCAAATCAATCAATCACAGACGGGGAGAATTACTATGCAACTCCCTCGAGAAATGACAGGGACCAGTGCAGCATCTCTGTGCTGCCAGAATCACTGATCTTTCGCTCCCCTGCATGTCTACTCAAATACGATTTTATCCGCAATTAATCCAAAATAAGATTAATTTAAACTAAAACGGAGATTTAAGAGGGAGATAAGGAAGGAGACAGGATGAAAGAGAAGGAATATCAAGCTGAGAGAATGTAAGGGAAGTAAGATTTTATTAGACGTTCTCTAGAGGTTTGTCAGTACTCTTAGAGATGAATGAATGTAGGATGAGAGTTAGACACCAAAATCATTATCAGTGTTAAACGCTCAGATCCAGGAGACAGCTAACAACCTAGTATTGCCAAAAAGCAATTAACGGCGACAGAGGAAAATGAAGGGTACCAACACCGACCATGGCTGCCTGGCATCGCCCACCCCTGAACTCGCATTTACCGCAGGCGATACGGTATTAACACAAAGGCCACAAAGCCATACATCAAGGGCATATCAACACTTAACAAGAATGCATGCAATTTGGCGCAATACAACATAATGCATATTAAACAGAAAATTCTCCTGTTATTAAAATGAAATGAAATGGCATCTTCTGGCAGGAACTGCACTTTTTCCAATACACATCAATAAAGGCAGGTTAATCATTTTTACTGGTTGAACTGGCAACAGTGCTGGATCTAGGCATAGGCAAACTAAGCAGCTGCTTAGGGCCTGACTGGCAGAACGGGGCCCGGACAAAATCTACCGAGAACCCCCCCCCCCACCCACCCAATTTGGTGCAGTCTATCAACCCATCCCTGAATTTATTTCTGGCTGTGGGCCTGCTTAGTGGCTGTGACAAGGTGTATCTGGCCCTGACTGGCACATCGCCGTAGGCAGAGCTACTAACCTTTGACTGCATCCTCAGCTCCCGACTCCAGTCCTGGATGGTCCTCTTGGAGGTCTCCACATCCTGCTCGCTATCCCGCTCCAGCTGCGCCCTCCAGTCGCACTGGTCTGACCATTCACCTGCCGGCACTGGCCTCTGCTGAACACAACATGCCACATGACTCTGGCACTCTCCCAACAGGGCTTCACGCAAAATCATTTCCATAATTTTTTCTTTTGGCGATAGAATAGAAGGTGCATTATGGGCTGATATTTATCTTCCATTGGGAGGAACGTGACCCACATCTGACCTTGGTTCTTCTTGACCCTCAGTGCTAATAGCCGTCATCCGGATGCACACTGCTGCACTCGCACGGCACAGCGCGCTCACCTTACTCTCCAGCACCGAGGCCCAGTCGAAGATGAAGGCACGGCACATGGAAGGGGGCCAGATGTCCTGACAGGTCCAGATATATCCGAGGACATCGGATTTCTGATGAAAAACAGCATCTGTGCATCAGGAGGCCGCCTGCCCAAAGCAGAGTGTGTGCGTGGGTGTGAACTCGGCATCAGCAGAATTAAATGTAAGGACTGAGCTGTATGTCTCCATGTGTCACTGTCACTGCGTCAGCGGTCCTGTCCAAATGCGTCGCCATGTGTGGTGTGTGTGTGTGTGTGTGTGTGCGCGAGCGGGTTTACCTATCCTTATGGGGACATTAGGTCCCCATAACGTGATAAATATCCGTTTTTTTTCCCTTATGGGGACCAGTTTCCTGGTCCCCATAAGGGAAAACTCTATTTTAT